AAATATTATATAAAATATAGAAAAGGTATAGTATTATATATAACTTTACCTTATATAGTAAATAGTAATAATACTAATATTAAAAATAACCTAGTCTTAAGTAAAAAGAGGTAAAATTATTAAGGTAATATTTAAAAGCCTAGTAAAAAATAGACTTAGCCTAGTTTTACTAATATTATTAATAGCATATTTAATTAAAGTAAAATAGTAGTAACTACTTTAATATAGGGTTAGTTAACTACTAAAAATAAAAGTATATAACCCTAGATCTAGATCCCCTAGCTATTAAAAATAGCAGATAATACATTTAAGAGAAGTGCTTAACAGGACCTTAAGTTTTCCACTACCTATAGTTATATATGCTTAGAATCACCTTGGACCACTATATGTCTGTAGCGTAGAGTGTGGGCTACATTGTGATGGCTGTCTTATATCTAATAACGGCCTGTTAAACCTGTGAGAGTAGCACGGATGTGGCCGTGATGTCAGATCTATGTTTCCCTTTAGAATTGAGTCTCTGGATTGCTACATGCCACTCAGGCTCGAGAGATGGTCAGTCTATCTTGTCCCGTTGTTCGTGCGGTTCTTTCTCCACGACAAACATCATGAGCACCCGGGGTTCAATATGCACAATTCTTGCTGTTATTTTAGTCTCTCTCATACCTTTGCTGCATCAAGTCCTACGCACCGTCTATGAGATGGCCTGTCAAGGCATGTCATGGTGACAGTTTCAGTCACAACTTATTGATCAGACTCCTCAAGTGTCGTCCTCTGCTAAACACCATACTACTAATCATGCAGTCTATAGTTACTTTTATGCTACTATCTGTTGTGCATACATGTTGCCGTAATATATTCCAGATGCTAAGAGCATGATGAACAGCTTGCTCTTCTGGAAGCCCAAACGGGCCCCTCAATCTTGCTGTACCCGAGTCCTTCAGCCTTCGGACGATACGAGCCTATGATGGCAAAGCATATAACCTCTTTGTTAACAAGCCGTTGCGACTCCGGGGCAAGCGCTCTCTGCAAAGCTATGTTGCGTAAAAGCCTTCAGTTGATGGTCTCATATCTATGACCACTAGGCTGCTTCCAGCATTAACAAACAGAAACAAAGAGTTCGAGACGCTTGAGATCAATGGTTTCTCCGGTCAACAATTTACATCGTCTTTCTCCAGATAGACTTTGTTCAGATTTGCATTCGAGTCCAAGAATACCACCAAATGGAATTTGTGCCCTTCTCTGAGTCGGCTCAATGGTTGTTTGACGATAACTGATCCACATCAGATGATATAGTATAATTTGTCTTTTAAGGTGCTGCTGGCGTATGATGATGCCCATATCCGGCATCATCAACCGGACTTGCTAAAAAGATGACGTTAATGTCAAAGTTAAGCAGCGGAAAGCAAGACATAGGCCTACCGTAACAAGAGACAGAAGCTCAAGTGGCCGAGGAGCTATGGTGATGACGGAGCGCTTTTACGATCAGCAACTCCGCAGTGTAGGGGCAAGTCCCACTTCAAGGAGGTATTGTCTTTTCGAGGATGCCCCAGAGTCTTCAGTAATCGGCTTGCCGACGCTATGACCATGGATGATTGATGCAGTTCAGTTTGTCACATTCTTCTGCTGTCCCGAGTATGTGACAAGTTCCGCATATGTACTGCACGTAAGACTCGTAGATGTTAGCTTCAGTTGCGATCATTAAACTGGAAATCGCCACAGAGTAGTTCCAAGGTACTGCAGCTATTATTGGCCGTGCAGGCGTCAATTTTGTCCTCGCATCGTAACGTAGAATATCCGGTGCCCTCACTCGCCGATTAAGAGCCGTCCCCTACCTTACCTATGGTACCAAATTAAAACCATCACATTAGATAATATCGACATCTGCAACCCGCAGCTTACTTGGGCATCGAATCTTGTTTCCCAAGCCAGATGGATCAGTCTTCGCATCTCAGGGCTGTTACTCCTGTTCCATACCGTGGCTTCTGATGAAGAGCTATCTCTGGGGCATAAATGGACTAGACAAGTCTCATGATGGCCGGAAGCCAACAGTGGCCCCGTTTAGATCCCGGCGCCACTTCTGTCAAACAGAACCTTTAGACAATATTAAAACAATCGTACAGGCTGAGTTATAACGATTGCATGCTTTAAAGCCAATCCGTACATACCTTTGCAGATAGGTAAGCTGATTTTGCACTAGAAGCTTTATATATTTGAAGCTTTGGACGCATATTTGGTGTGTATCCTTGATATGGAGGAGCTACATGTATCGGCACGCCGAAACAGCAAAATATCACATGGTGTTAAAGATGTCCCCCATTCGATTAAGTAAAAAAGTAGTTTCTGCCATTGCGTTCTAGATGAGATCTTTGGCCAGTTATAGCTTCCAGGAAGCGCCACTTTCACTTGCATGACGGCCATCCGGTCTCTTACCTGAATTCACAACTCTCGTTCCAAATTCAACAGCTATATCAAGTCAATGGACCCCCATTATCCATCTTTCAGAAAGCATGGCAAGAGGCTAGGTGGCCAGGCTTCGGCACTGCACTTTTCTCACCGAGAGTGCTTCTGCAAAAGGATGACACAAAATTCGTCAATGATGAAACGCTCCAAACGCAACAAAAGATCCCTTTGGGATACGATAACGGTTCTTGGAACCAGCGTTATTGAGAGCTCCTCTGAGACGTAGAATAGCTCATCACTGAATCATATCCCTGGTTAGACAATGCAACCGAGTACTGTTCGGCCGCCGGTAGATGATCAAATCAAATTGCCTTGTCGTTTTCATCGATCGATTCCGATTCGTGCACATATGGCAGATTGGGCCAGTGAAAATAAACAAAAACTTGTAATCGCTACATACATGTACCTGCATACGCCAGAGATTTTGAAGCAGATTGGAAAATGGAAGCAACAAAGACGCCCAACCTTTATGTGTGATGCCTCTTTCTTCCAAACTGAATACAAGCTGCTGAAGACCAGACATTTCCCACAGCTCTCCGCTCTGCGTATCTGTACATGTAGCCAGCAACAACCTTCATACATGACATCATGTAGACAACATCCTTCTCAACTCACAGCAGGGCTTCGCCCTTGGAACCCAAAAGCGGAATTTCGATCGGTCGTGGAGGCGTATGGCTGTTGGGAAGCTGGCTGTTGGGGGGAAACCTAAAACATGTTGTTTTCCTTTGTCAGCCCTCGCTAATGTCACGAGTCGGCTGGTAGGGTGCGGCGTCAAGGAAACTCCGAAGAGAAAGCGTGAACCCGTCCCCCTCTCACCCCTTTCATCCCTCAGAAGGATGACTTCTGTCGTCAAGAGCATGGCAAGGAGCTGGTTTGCCAGCTTCGGCTCTGTTTTTGTCTTTATTGGGACTCCGGGGGATTATATCAGGGGTCCCTACCTAGGAGCCCGTCAATGATGAGAATCCCCTCCAAACGCGACGAAGATCCCTCGCAGGATCTAATGAAGGCCGTTGGAGCCAGCGTACTGGCGAGTTGCTCTGAGACGGATCGCCACTGGTTGAATAGACACTGCATAGGCAATTATGTCAAGATGAGAGGTCATTGTTTCATCGAAGCGGCAGTGAAGACGCTGACCGGAAGAAATAATAAATGGCATGGGTAAATGTGTAGAGCGTCGAGAGGAAAATGACGAGACTGATGGAAAAGGGACGAAGAAGGTCGGAGGTGCAGCTTTGATGGTTTTTATATCTCAGCATCCCCAGTTGCAACTTCCTGTCGGTCTGAACGCAAGAGCGGCTGGAGTCGCATGATACAGTTGAGTGTCAACCCACCATGTCTGCCTTACATATTTATATTTTGACAAAAGATTCGACAGGAGCTGTGTTATCAACTTGGTTGGTAGGGTAGGATGCTCGAATTTGGATGGCAGTGACCAACGATGGAAATGGATGGGATTCTCTTTCCTGCTGCCGGTGACACCGTTTCTGGGGGGGTTTTGAAGGGAAAGGGCTTTAAAATACTGCAACAATATGTCCCACAGGTCTGGGAAAGTGTTGTAAAATTTATATCCAAGGGTATCTCGAAATGCCCAATACATACGAGTCAACATGGATCTCAACATCTGTGACTATCAGAAGGGAAGCAGCGCAGAGGCTTGGTCAGGATGCCTCCTTTATGTCATTAATCGAGCGACGAGAACGACTACGTGAACACTGTATTGTATTTATGAACATGCATACCCTCCCTGCAGAAATCACAATAAACTCCACGTCCATTCACTATTTTCCGAGAAGAATCTCAATCTGTACTCCTCATTAGATGGTTAGTAACTATAGCACTTCATCCCCAGTGTCGTGATAAATGCCTGTTCCCAGTGGCGTCCAGATCTCATCTCTTTCACCCAGAACTCTTATAGACTTATCAGTGGGGTCTTCACGAGGGGCATAGCGACGTGTGCTGGCGGTTTGGAGTTGAAGAAACAAAGAGTGATGCTTGTACTGGTCCTCGGGCTGCCCAGCATAGCGCCGTCCAAGCCATCGAGACCAGCTTCGTTATTGGCAACACCTAGCTAGTCAAGAATTTTACGGACAGTTTCAAAAGTGGCAGCCTTGCCAAGCTCTTCCATCAATATGGCTTAGGCTCCTCGTCAGCTCGTGACTCTGGTCTCCAGGGATTTCTATCCTTCCCACTGAATCAGGATGCGCTAGCTGGACTACCTAACTGCGGACGACGCAGTTTGGCAGCCCGGTTGGGAAACACTACGTCCGCAACGAACGACAAGATGCTTCAGACAACAGGATTCCGGATTTTCTCGAGTTGTGCTGAGTGGCAGACTTCTTTACTGGGGCTGCAGCCTGTCAATATGACCCTATTGCATGGTCAGAGGATATTTAAATAAAGCCTCCTTAACGTCGCCACACAATCGATTAACGAACCTGGTGAGGCCCGTTTGTTAAAACTCATCCCAGTATCGTCACCGTTAGCACCCCTGGTAATGAGATATGTGTATGTATTTCTTCTCGTCCCCACCGTCTCTTTATCTATATAGCCCAACCTATCACTGACCCGGGCACATACGACCACAGCCACCTGAGAAATCTGGATCCCGTCTGATCTCCGATTGATAACCAGATGAGCGCCGGAGTAGTAGCTGGGTCGGTGACGACCAGCGAACTCCTGGTGTTGTATGTCTTTTGCCTTTTTGCTCTGTAAATAGACATTTGTGCAGTTTTCCATATTATATCCTGATGTACATCGACCAAGATGGAGGTTGAGGTGTTCGACTTTGAGGACCTCCCTCGCACCGCATCACATCACCACATTGCTCAGTGAAGACAATGTTGATACTGTCTTTTTTTCATCACTGTCTATTATCATATTATCTCCGCAGATGAATGTTTCCGACTATTCCACCTAGTACATCATCACCACGTCCTGTCGCCAACAGATGCTCCTCCTTCCACGCTGCCATAACCTCCTGTTCTGTCATCCCGATTTCGCTCCCCTTTTCCTGAACTAGATTGTGCAGCACCAACTTTTCCCTATTACTCGCTGCTGCCATGACCACCTGCATTGTAGGTTCAATCTCGTCCCCCTTCTCTTGCAGTAGAGCCTTTAATGCCGGAAACTTTTCGTTATGTGCTGCCACAATGGCAACTGTCTCTGTGATATGGAATTTGTGCTTCCACTTCCCCAGGAGGTAAACCAACACCGAGCGTTCCCGGTTAGCCGCTGCCGCTACTAGCACCTTCTCCGTGATTTGAACCTTGTCTTCATGTCGTTCAAGCAAGTACTGCAGGACTAACTCGTTGCTTTTCTGGGCTGCCGTGATGACGATGTTCTCCCCGATGAGGATCTTGTCTTTTTGTCTGCCTATAATGCACCATAAAGGGGAACTGTCCCGGCTCCTCACTGCATGGATTAAGACTTCTTCGTTGACTTGCGCTTTCTTGTGGGAAAGCAAAAGGTACGTCGCTTCCAGGTTGCCGTTCCATACTGCTCTTGCAAGCAATAGGTCCAAAGGAGTAGCGGCATATCTTCTTCGACTTGGTGTTTCGTCGTTATCCATTGCGCTGCGGAATCGCTTCTCTGCTTTTGTAACAATCTTCTCTGAGATTTCCACACCCCTGATACTTGCTTCTGCAAGGACCACGGCAAAGTCCTCGTCTTTAATGATGGGAAACTGTCGAGCCATTCCTAGCAAGCCTGCTATTTTCTCAAATTTCTTTGCCGTTGCTATGTGGCCGTGGATTTTGCACATTGATCCAAAGCTTTTCAGTTCCCTGATAAGGTCGCCGTTTGCCTGTCGAGAGCTTTTCATCATCCAGAACACTCGCCAGAACTCAACCTCTGCTTCCCATGATCGTCCCATCCTTCCGTATGACAGAGCAAGTTTGCTCATACACATGAGCACTCGTCCATCCACTTGTACAGAGATTGGTGTGCATGTGTTCTTCATCTCTTCAAGCATGCTGACAACTGACTCCTCGTTGCTTCCCGCATCGCTCAGGATCAGAGCTACGTTCCATGAACGCGTTTGTTTGCTGATATAGCCTTCGGACTCCACATTGTTCGACTGAGGCGACTGAATGGATCGACTAGCCAGCCATGCCTCATAATCTCGATGTTGCGTTTCCTCATGAGAATGATCCCAGTCCCATACTAGTAGAAAGTCATGTGTAGAAGAGCTGCCTGATTGCACCAGCCGTTCAGAGTTTGTTGATTCCGTCTCCGAGTTATTGGGGGGCGCAACTTGGACCATGATAACGGAGAAATATTCACCCCGTGGCCTGACGACCATTGGGCTTGTCGCTCCGAGAAGATGACAGAAAACGTCGCCGACCTCAATTGGCTTGACCGCAACGGGAACAGTCCATGATGGCCCGAGTGTGTCCTGCATTTGGATGCTGACATGCTGCCGGTCTCCTCGAGTGTCATCTTTGACCATCTGAACGGACGAGACTATTCCAATAACGCAACCTTTGGCGAATATAGCGGCCGCCTGCTGGTGGCTCCATGACCAGACAAGCACTTTTTCGCCCAGTATAAACCTGACAAGCCGTGCCATAAGTTCATCCCAAGGAATTTTGTAATTGGGGGATAGTCCAGAAGCGCCAGGGTTGTCAGAGCTCATACCTAGTAGAGCGAATACTTTGTCATGGCGCTCTGTAGCTTCGTGTGCGTGGTACATGTCGACCAACCCGCCCAGAGGCCGAACATCCAGAGATATGCCTCCTGAGGAATTAGTCTTGTATTTTGGCCGAAAGATGGATCCTCTCATTAGATAGGTAACTGAACGGATGTGACTTGGTATGTCTTCGTATGGCAGCAATGAGGGGAGGCCCAAGCAGAAGGCGTATCCATCAATCCTTTCAGTGCCGCACATCATGACGATATGTTGAGCGGCAGCAACCTCTTGAAGAACCTAAGCAATATTGTCAGTATACCTAGTTTCTAAATCTGTTGCTTGGTGCGTAGTGGATGCGTTACCCATATTCGACGGAACCAGGGCCGCTGGACTATGGAAAGAATCGCCTGCCGGTCCTCTTCGGTCAGCAACGACTTCTGCTGCTCTTGATCTGCAGACATGCGTATTTGCTTCAAGGCTCGATCGCTCTCGTCTGCCGCCTCGCCAAGCCATACAATGACACGGCTCGCTTTGGAATATATCTCGGCCATGTGCTGTATCTGCTCTCCTCGCTCCTCCATGTTGGTTTGATCAATGCAGACAGCGTCAATCCATATTATGCGCTCAATCATCTTGTTGCGAAGACGCAAGAGGACTTCATACAGGTTTGCCGTGATGGGCAAAGACTGCTGGTCGATATGGAGCGTATAAGGCCTCTCCGAGCTCCCCCAGACATAGGACAGGGCCTCGTACATGTGCGGTCCATCTCCCAGCTCGCACATGGAATATTCGAAGAGCTGAGAACGGAGAGGCGCATCCTCGTTCCAGTCTGGAAGCAGGCGAAGCAGGCGAATGTGCCGACGACCTTGGAGCGGTGAATAGCTGTACATGTTTCCAGCACTCATCCCACAGGCCATTGGCATGTTGTGTCTCCGGCTTTGTAGTGCGCTGAAATAGCTCAACAGGGCAGCTTTGATCAAGTGCCTGTCAAAGGACGAGAAGTCTAGGCCCGAAGAGAAGCTGCTTATTTCGTCTGTTCCTTCGCTCGCCATGCATCTATTTTTGTCCGCGCGCTGTCATTGGACACCCCCAATTCTCCAGGCAACAAGGCTACATGTATGTATGCGGAGTCAACTGCAAGGATCGTCAATTGCTCCGAATAAGTGGTAAAGCCGTGATGTAAGTAATGATTACCCATGAAGATTCTCGAATAATCCATACAAGGACCTCTTCACCAGCATTCCATGTGCTGTCATGGATTAGCTCCAGGAGTGTATATAGTTGGGAGAACATGCCCATTTTCATGCCAAATACGCCGACTTTCTACATACATGTGAAGGCTGAGTACCTAACATGTAGCTTGCGGCCAAGAAACAAGCAACTGCGATGAGATTAGACCTTCAAAGGTCCTCGTCAGTTGGATAGGAAGTGGAGACCAGAGATCTAACACCACAACTCCTCAATATGTCATACTGCACAGTTAGGGCTGCATAGGTATTCAAGTCACTCAGTTTGGGCACCCCCCATATTACAACCATGGAGACAACTGAGCTTCAACACGCATTGTGATACCAGGTTGTCGATATAATCTGAATATGCAGCATCTCCTATCACATACGACCATAGGTAGTGGAAAACTCGGGGTCCCGTCTGCTCCCCCATAGATAAGCCACTAACCGGCAGATTAGTAGTTGGGTGGGTGACCACCAGCGAACACCGGCTGTTGTATGTTTTTTTTGTCTTTTTTTGCCTATCCATAGTCTTTATCTCATGGCTCCCTGCTCGTTTACTTCAATTCCTAAAGTCCGTGTGCATAGAGGTGGCAGGGGTGGCCTATTTATGCAGAGGAAGCATAAGATTGGTTGCCAAGCTCGAGGGCACTGCAGAAGGATCTTATACTTCAGTTTAGGTGATGGACAATGGGTTTTGGAAGAGTATTTTTATTGGACATTAGAAAAAAGGCCATACATATGCACTCTAGGTGAAAACGTCTCTTGGACACTGCTGTGCTCCAGGTTGAACACATAATACCATTCAATCAAGTATGAGGCAACTAGCAATCCCAACTCTGAAAGCAAGGTCAACACTCCAAGCAAACGTAGTTCCCTCAACCTGTGTCATCAGCCTTCAGGTTGGGCGTCTTGCCTGTGAAGATGTATGTGTCAATGACACTTGAACCGTCAATAGTGACTTCCGTAATTACCGTTTTGTTTTGCGCCATGTTGATAGCCGTAGCATTCGAAGCGTCTAGCCAGGATTTTCGAGTCGACGCCTTCGTATCAGTAAAGACAATGCTGCTCCAGTTTGCCAGAGGCGTATGATGAGCTGAAGCTCCAAGGCCCATCATGTAGTTTTCGACGATCCATTCAGCATTCTGCTGTGCCAGGGCATAGGTAGAAGTAAGATACTTGGTAACAAGCTTGCCCGTGGAGACGTTTTCGATGGTTGCGAAGCCGGATGTGCTCGAAGTTGCGCTGACGGTGGCCTTGATGACGTCGCCTGGAGAGATGGCAAGGTTCTCGGAAAAGGTATATGAGTGATCTGGCCACCACTCATACCAGGGTTCATAGTACACTTGACCACCCTCGATGGTCAAGTCGACGCCGGTCTGCAGGATGGCCTTTGAAGCTGTGTCGCCGTCGATTCCCACCCAGGCAGCGACGGTGTAGTAATTATTGGGAGGACTGCCCTCGGGAATGCTTGGCTTGGGAATGACGAAGCTGGCTGACACGCTGTTGAAAGCCTCGCCTTCTGGGGGCGAATCAATGACAGCCCCTGACCAGATTGAGCTGTAAGAGGCTCGATTACCATGATGAATCTCTTCTGAGCGGTTCTGCTGAAAGGATCTGGAAGAGCGTGCGATGGGTCCGTGGAGGATGTCACGCTTGAACGTAATAGGAGTTGCATAGACATGGCAAGCGAGCAGTGAGTAGGTGACAACAGTGGAAATCTTCATTCTGAAGTCTGAGTACGACGATGGTTGAAACCTTGACTGGTGGAGTGAGTAAGCCCTGGGAGCTTGGTCCAGGATGAAGTGTTGTCGTAGAAGATGAGGTGCATCTAGAACGAGGGGGGAGGTTCGTTTACTTTGTAGACATCTCATGCGAGTTCTTCAATGCAAAGTGCATCAGTGGGGAGTTGATTGCCTACCCATATGATTCGTTGCTCAAAAAGGGAATGAACACTTAATACAGCGAATCTCAAAGACAGAAAGCAAATCTCAGTCTCAGGTGTTAAGTTTGTTCAGTGGCTGTGTAGTCTCCTTGAGCAACTGCAGAGTGAACACACAACTGGGAAGCAAATCAGTGGTTGTTACTCATCCAATTCAACATATTGAACAAAGTCTATTCAGCCTTGTTGGCATTTTATGCAGCAGAGACGGTGTCAACTGATGCAGTACTTTGCCTCATAGTCTCCGCGCATGCTTGTTCGAACTCATCAGACAATCACAGCCAACGAGTCTCTAAATGCATCAATGGAGTTGGTGAATAGCATGATCCGTGCCTTTGTCTCCCGTTTCATCATTGGCCCCGCATCGCCTTGAGACCGTCTCAGATCATTCATCATTGAACAGCTGTTTTCGAGCTTTGCTTGACGCTTTACCTTTACATGGTACACCTCGTCTATCAAGATTTGAAAAAGTACAACCAAGTATCAAGGGCGTATAAAGCTTGATTAAATTGATAATATATACATCCTCCGGCTGAATCTCAATACATTCCACCGCCGCCAACGGAACCCGTGCATCTCTTCCATCTTAATCAGTCTTGCACTGGACGTACTCAATGACGTCCTTGGACTCGAGAATGATGATGCCAGGGCTGCTGACGTGACCGACACCCAGGTCACGGCTCTGGAAATCCAGGAAAGAGCAGCTAGCACCGTGATAGTGGCCGGGCACGGCAGGGTTGTCGAGGGGACGGACAAAAACGTTGTCAACAATGCCGCCGCTGTCTATTGTAAAGGGTCAGTATATGCGATCCTGAAGACTCTAGATGCGAGGCAAATACGTACTCAGAGCCACCGGGGAGGCGCTTTCAGCAACCCACTTCTGCTCGGACTGAGAGCCATTGGTGTAGGTGAAGATGAGACCAATTTCGCCGGTAGAGATCTGGATCTGGGGAGCAGCAGCAACGAGGCTGGTAAGAGCAGCGAGGACGACAGAGGCACGCATGATGGCGGTTATTTGGCAGCTAATGAGCGTCTTGCAAGAAAGTGCGTAAGTAATTTGAAAGAGTGTGAAAGCTGCTGTCTTTTCTTTCCCACAAAAGCAATACTAGTAGCTCAAGCTGCCGAAAAGGAGTCTTTTATATACGTGCTTTAACATCAAAGGTGGAGCGTCTCCTTGCCTTCGTATTTCGCCAATATCCCTGGCCGTTTCCACGTATTGGCAGCGATGCGACTCTAAGTCGATACGAGCAAAGGCTATCCCAATTTCGAGCGAAGCAATCCCCCCTGTCCATCAGACGCCAAGCCTCCACAACGGTTCCCCCACAAATGCACACAGGCGCTGAAGAGGCCTGGGCTGGGTTTCGTTCATCGTTCTCCGTATCGGCAACAGGTTTGAAGCGATCCTGGATCGTTGAAATATGGGAGCGGTGTAGATTTTACCATGTCATCTTCTTTTGTATCACTCAAATGATGAAAAGTGGTTGTTAGCAGGCTTGAAAACGTACTGCATTATTTGGCCCACATGGTTTGAAGACGACGATTAAGGGGTCAGGCCATGGAGAGCGATTTACTCGTAGCTTTATGCTAGGGGCTCGTCAACGACTGCACGTGTTCCCCTATTATTCCTTGTACAGGTATTGAGTAGGCAATCGCACATTATACTGCATTGAGGCAGAGGAACGGGGGACGGAGTGCTATTAAGCTTAGTTGTTAGTGAATAGCGCTACATCCAAGAGCTGTCGAAATTTCGTCTGGCTAAAAGGTTCTAGAAAATGAAGAGAAGACTTGGAGGTAACATTGGGATTGATGCAGCATGCAGGAGGTGCCATAAGTTTACCGCAAGTTGTTTACTCTCAATTTACTTGGAAAGTGCTACGTTGCCCGATGTAGTAGGTAGGTAGTTGAAGCATACCTACTGGTCATGTCGCGACTTGAACACCTTTCCCTGAGGGCAATAGCATCAGAAGAGAATCGCATCTCTGGGTATCCATTGTGGCGGTTCGGGCCGGGACCAGTGAGCAAATAGTTGAATACGTTATTGAAACAATAAACAGCCTGTTATTATAAGCCGTTACCCATGGGGAGAGTTTGTGGAGCGCCCTCCGCATGGTCCGGTCCTGGCAGGATTCCGAGAGGTCCGGAAACCAGCGCCGCAACGGCCTCGGCAGGGGCTCAGAAACCTGGAGAGTCTTCTCCGCAGCGGCGCAACTGTCCGACAGTATGCCCAAATATGCCGATACGGATTTCCGTGTGACACTGAAGACTCTAGAGTACCCCAACAAAGCTTCATCTGTATCCTACAGAGGCGAGGAGGATAGCTCTGGGGGTCCGTCTCGCTCTCCTTTCGATTCACAGGTGTGTTTTCTTTGTGGGACTCACGATATTCGTAATCCTTTAAACCTTGATTTTGCTTCCATTTTCGCATTCGCAGAATAACCGCTCTCATCCTGGTTTCCTCTCTCTGGCACCGCTCTAAAGTTATTGGCTATCCCTGAGCATCCTTGATCCAGTCAACGGTTCTTTTCTGAAGCCTAGTGCCAGCCCCGAAGCCGTGGAGCCAGATGCACCAAGTGCAAAGTGCGTATACTTTGTTCCCTTTCACAAGATATGCGGCAATTGACGAGCTCTTTTGCCCTGTGCTTCAATCATCAATTCGGCAGTAAAGGACAGTTGAGTCCCTCGCGACACTAAGTGCATCAACATGACGATGATTTGACTTCAACATACTCAAAGTAAGAGATGTTTCCACTCAACATGTTCAAGCATTGTTGACTGAAGTTTGGAGTAGATCCTTTCTCCACGACAATGACTGGCGGGATCAGTTAATATTGGCTAAGGATGATGCAACTTCTCCCGATCGATGCGGTCACCCTCAGTCCAAAGGTCATAGCAATTCGCGTCATGCCTAACTATCGCCCGTCAGACTGCCAGGAATGTTCATGTTCATGTCTTGACGCTAAGCGCTGGTTAAAAGGTGCGAGCCGTCGCCGCTCGTCAGCATGATGTTATTCAGAAGAATTGGTCACGGCCACCCAACAATTCCGCAAGCTCAAGATCTATATCAAGAAATGCAGCCTGATAGGATTGTCTGCAAGTGATTGACTACCAAGCGATCAGGAACCACCGCCATGCCAAATTACGTGCCAATTACGCCGAAGCCCGCCCAGGACTCCCACGACGCTGCTTCGGCCCCTTCGGAGGCTGTCGAGAACAACAAGCGACGTCGTATCAGTGTTTCGGTGGCCTGCAACGCCTGTCGCCGGAAGAAGACCCGGGTACGCCCCTCTTGTGTACTTCAAAGTAAATGAAGCCGACAGATCTGAGCTGATGTTGAGGCACAACCAGTGTGACGGCAAAAGACCAGTATGCTCTGCCTGCGAGCATACACCAAACAGCTGCACGTACAGGGATGACTCTGGGCTATCTGAAGAATCTCAGTCGCTCTTGCAAGAAATCTTCCGTACCCTTAACGCTCTCCCGGACGACCAGATCCTCGAAAGAGTACGAAGCCTCAAGAGGGAGGTTGATCCGTTGGCTATCCTCGCTCGCCTCAGAGGTGAAGGGGTCACCTAACAACCCAATGCGGCCATTGAAATGACCATGATGAGCGACGCCTTTTGAACAATGGAATTCGGGCCTTCATACCCAGATGCCTATCCTATCATACCCAATTTCGGCATATATACGCTCGAGGAGGCCACATACCAGCAGTTGATTCACTCCGAAAAGGACACAGACTCTGACGTATGCAGGGCGTATAAAAATGGCAGCAGGACGCTCGCAGTCTCAGTCTCTCTATGACAGCCGACTTCTGACCCTGAGAGAAGAAACGCAAACGCAAAGTCGACTCGCTGCTAAACAAATTGCTTGATAATTCGTGAGCCTGGGCTTTCTACGCCTGGGAAGAGATCACGTCGTCCTGACATACCTCAACGATGCTTCTGAAATGGCTGTCCGCATGGGCCTCTTTGGGGTTGCGGGCAACCACAAGCAGGAGGACATTAGCAGCTTGCCAGAGCCAGCACGGAGCGCTCATTTATACGCAGCTTGGGGGTCTTTCAACTGGATAACGTGAGTGTCTTAAGTCTTTATAACTCCGCCACCCCCAGGTCGATAAGCCTCGATGCTCACTCGTGTTGAAGCAGTCACATGTCCTTGTTCTACCACAAGCCGGGCCTACAATGCCCCAACGCCCCGCCCAGGCTGCCGATTCCTGACGCCAAGAGAATCACGAATCAGAGTCCGATAGTACAGGCACAAGTTCGCAGGCTGAACCTGATTCTCCGTATATGGGAGGAGTGCTCAGGAGTGTTCCCTTGCATCTGTCAATGTTGGTCCATATCACCTGAGCTGGCCTTGCTGTACAGGCACAAGGGTCCGCTCAAGGGCGATCGTAGGACTTTCTGCCTTGCAGAACTCAAGTTCCGGGAGCTGCTGGGCTGGAGCAACCGCCTCCCCAGGAGACTATGTCGAAACGATCAAAGCCCGCACTATGTGCAAATCTTGCAGTATGAACCCCCTTTATCCGTTGCTCAGAGGCGACGTAACTTGATTGCGCGCGAGAGACTCTACTTATGCCCACAGCATATGGCTCCACGCCGCCATCCTCGATCTCTTCAGGTTTCAACGATTGGCAACATAAAGAGCCTACACCTAAGGACATCTACCAGCCCTTACAGCACTCTGGAGAACGCGTGTATCGCATCAGCTTCGCCAGCTGAAACAGCTCATGATCAACTACAGGCTTCACTTTGCCTCTTCCCCTTACACCATCTGGTGGCACACTGCTATGACATACCTCGCCAACGCCATCCTTCAGAAACCGAAAGAAGAGAATTGCTTCTTTTACTTCCTGCTCTGTGTCTACGGCTACGAGCGACTCCGACCATGCTGGCGCGTTACCCAGGCTATTCCGACGGCACTGATATAAATGGCGCTGGGCAAAGGAGACATCACAAGCCCGACTGCGCGCGCCAGCTGTTGTGCAGTGTCAATGACAACAAAGGCTATCAGCGGTATTGTGCCTTGATATGAGGAATCGTATCATAAGATATCCTCTGGTAGGACTCCGTTTTTCGTACAGTACGTTTGGAAGCTGTCTTTTTCTCTAAGATGCTCATCTGTGTGATCTCTCCCAGAGCCCAACATCCATTTTGGATGTTTTCGCACTCTTATCTTTCTTTTGTCAATGTTCATCTATTGCTTCAAGGATTGAACGCGGATCGTAGCATGCATATCGGCAGACTATCGCCCAATGCTGAATATGCCTACTTAGATGCAAGGGTCACATACTGGTAAGGATTTGTATGCCGAGAGTCGGTCCTTATTGTGTCACAGAATCTCGGACACAGTACATGTATTGGTTGGACGCCTAAGCCCGTTAGGCATCCATGTGCAAGGTCCAGCATTCTTAGGACGCCGCCTTCTGCTTCAGACAAAGGCAAACCGTACAAAAATGCCATGCTATTGTCGCCGCAGCCATTGAGAGCATCGCATCGGTATCCAGAGGCTCTAATACCACGCCTCATGCTCCCTTTTTTTTTTTCTTCTTTTTGAGCAGACCCGCGCCAGTCAGCTGAGAAGTCTGGACAAACAAACGAGCTACGGAAGCCCTCTTCAAGTCATCAAAGACTACAGGAGGCTATGAGCCTGGATAATAGCGCCATTCAAGGCCTGGCAGCAATGCGACAATCTACCCCCAAAGACAAGTCCATATCGGGCAGCTCCTTCAACGATGGATTTCAGATCCTTCAAGCAGCTCAGCTACAAGAGGGCCTGAGCGAAACGGATTGGACGGTGTTTGATGGAGAGCCGTCAAAGCCAGACAGCGCAAACGCAGGCCAAGGTTCTATCGAAGACACGCCCCTTGATGACGATCAACGGCACGAGGAACCACAGAAGCCTGCGCTCACAACCCGCGGTCGCCTGGTGCTGGAAGACTACGATATTCAACTCAGGCTGCTCGAGGCCCAGAACAAACGGCGTCTAGAAATGGCTCGTCAAGAACAAGCCAATCATGTCGTCCCATCATCACACATACACAGCCCTCCTCAGCCAATGTCCCCAGCAGTGATGGGTACTATGAAAGAACACCCCGCTATGGCCATCAGAAACACGATGGGCACCATGTCGCCAAACCAGCCAAACCCATACCAGACGATCATAATGCTGCAAGCACAGGTCAAGGCACTGCAGGACGAGAACCAACGTCTCCAGCGGCAGTTACTAGACGCAAAGAAGGCCACCTTTGCGGTATTCCACTGCGTCACTGGGGAAGATGGTGCAAAGATATACCTTGACCAACCGCGTTGGGTCAGATGGGGCGACAAATTCGTTCTCGAGGCCTACTCCCCGGTGCTGTATCCTGAGGGTTACGGCCTCTACAAGTCTCTACATTTTGTGGTCTACAAAACTTACTCGAAGCATACATGCTCGTTGACGAAGAAGACTTCGCAGCAGGTTATCGAATGCTCAACGCCATTCTTCGAACCCGATAGAGAAACTGTCAGGCTTGTCTCAGAGGAGCTGATGACGGCCATGGAGAAGCTTGCGGAAAGAGATGAGGCCACACAAAAGAAGCCCTCCTGCCTCGTTTCGGACAAAGAGATCCTTGCACCTCATCAGTGGTGGTACTGTTATCGCAGTCGGAGAAGACATGCTTGATGGCTTGACACCTTCGCAGGCAGAGGCCATGCAAAGTCTGATGAGATGGATGGATGAGGCCTACAGCAAATCTCACAGTCAAGCCGACGACCACTTCAAGCGTGGAATGGTCTCTGCATCTTCAATGGGCTACTTGATCCAACCTGGAGACGTTCTAGTTTGCAGCGTTGAAGGTGGCTTTGAGGCTCGTCTAGCAACTTCATGGTTACAAGACATGGAAGTTGCACAGAAACCCAGCACTCAAGGCCCGGACGAGGTACCTCCATTTACTGATGGAAAGGTGTCCAAGCGGAGATGGGAAGTGGATGCCTGGTCATACCGGTATGATGGCAATTTCTATCGGATGACAACGAGACCCTGCATCCAACTGGACGCAGATACAACGCAGGATGCAGAGATATCCATTGCTGACCTGGGCGTGTTTCCGCTTCGCTTCGCCTCACAAGAGGTGCGAGATACACTTGCACGACGAGGCAAAACATTATGGGAGTGTCGCAACGGCAAGCATGTCTCTTATGGCACAAAGGACAAGAGCTATACCGTGAGTTCCTCACAACAGCGCCACTACCATTCAAGGAGGACCACTGCTAACAGATGGTTATAGCCAGAGCAGCGCTACATGATAGACTGTCGGACATATTCTGATTTGCATCCTGGGTCAGAAGACATTCGGCTCAGTAGAGAAGGTTTGCGTATTTCGAAGGTAGAACCGGCATTTATCGATCAGAAAGATGCTCCGTCCGAGCCAGACTTGTATCTCTTCCCTCGTGCAGTCATGGGATATGATCTTCGGCGCAAGAGATGGGGTACGTGCCCTCAAAGCATGCAAAGCATTGGCAACAGACTGACAAGGGTGCAATGCAGAGAAAGTCGACGTCGACCACATTCGAGAAATAGCCTGGAACGGGAAGGCATTCGACCAGCTCATCGCAGAGCCGGAAACCAAAGATCTCATCATGAACGTCCTTGGAAGCCAGCTCTCATTACAGACACAGTCTGGTGTGAGAGACAGCAAGTACAATGGCTTCACCATGCTTATGCGCGGAGCTTCCGGAACGGGGAAGACATTCACAGCTGAGAGTGTTGCCGAGTTTTTTGAGAAACCCCTCTGCACTGTGAGATGCAGTGACGTTGGCACCACGCCCGAAGACGTGCAGAAGCATTTGGAGGATATATTCCACCTCGCCAAAACCTGGGGCTGCATAGTTCTGTTGGTCGGGGCAGAAGTGTTTCTCGAGCGGCGCAATGTCAACGACGTGGCCCAAAATGCGCGCGTCTCGGCCTTTTTACGCGCTCTCGACGATTATAAGGGGATTCTTATCCTCGAGTCAAATCGCCTCGATCGTCTTGACGAAGCCTTCAACTCATGCATTCAGCTTCCCTTACACTATGAACCTCTAACGGAACCAAACCGGACTTATGTCTGGCATAACTTGCTTGACAATATTCAGTCATTGGATAAGCAGGCGATGGACATTCGTGATGCTTATGGCTATACTGATGAGCTGGCAAGACTCGAGTTGAATGGTCACCAGATGCATCAAGTCGTTACTACGGCGAGGCAGTTGGCTGGGCTCCGACTCGAGAAGATGACCTCTCGTCATCTGTCCTTGGTTGCCAAGTCATTTCAACCTTTCTAGCTTGGTAACAAGATGACAGAGGATTATGCCTCAGTATCTGGTTCTAGTCACCCAGTACAGGAAATCTCTATCTCGGGTCAAGAGAGCCACTTGCCTGAAGCCAATGCTGAACGTGACAGCGACCAACAGTTCCGATGTATCACTAGTCTCAATCATGAACACGCGACTTATCATATATAATCATCACAGCATAGAATGAGGAACATTGATGCTGATGCAACCTCTTGATAGGGCAAGGCCGAGCAGACCATCGTCTAGAAACAGCCTACGCCCCGAAAAAGCAGCCGCCGAGAAGCGCAGCTCTACAGATGCGATGCGCAGCACCGTTAAATAGCAGAGCCACATCAGCAGTTGACTTCCCTGGGAGACTGCAGACTGTTAGCAACCCAACGACCCCGTTCAACCGGCTTGCAGCACTTGGCTAATTCGCCATCGATTGTCGTTTGTTGGTAAGACGGTACGGGTGTTGTTGGAATGACATCCCTGTCCTGCTTGCATTAGAGAACCACTTAGACCCAGATGCCCAGTTAGAGGCGGATATAGAAACACGCACTAGAATCCGATCCTGTCAGTTCAAGAGGAGGCAACTGCGTGAGCCGGAGCCGCTGCGTGTAATGGACGGACTTAACGTCGTTGATAAGCACCGTCTCGTCCATGCTGCCCACATGCAGCTGTTTATTAACATTTCCATCGTCGTATAAGTGGGAGGCACAGTTTGTGGCTTACACGCTCCTTCTATGGTCCCTGTCAGCACTTGGCTCCGACTTGACGCCCGGGGTATACGACTACATAAGGCTGGCCTAGATTGCCTCAGACGTCAAACTGCTCCCGCACAAAGCTTGAAGTCTGTTGATATCATACAGGAATCTATTCGCCCCTTCAACTACCAAACTTAGGAAGAAAACACCAAGCTATATATAATATTCTTCAACTTTCCCGAGAGCCAACTTTGGCACAAATCACACGATGCAGCCTCCATTTCCCTCTGCCACGGCAAACTGGCGGAATGATACTTATGCCGCCATCTCGCCCGAGCGGCCCCAGCTCAGCGCCTCCGGGAAGACGGTGGTCATCACCGGCGCTGTGAGTACCTCCCATCTAAGCCCCGACGCTTCTCCGTCTGAGTATCCTTATACCCTGGTGAACTTGGTGTGGCTACACATCACCATGAGGCAACCTGTCTACACAAGACACTGCATCCCACCTGTCCAGCTCAAAACGCTTGCTCGGATAGGTGGAGAGACGGAGACACTCGGATCCCCGATTTGTCGACATAGAGTGAAGACTTTGTATGTTTGTTCCACGAAGCTGATGATATGGCATTTGCCATTCTTACATAAAGGGCAGCGGCATTGGTAGAGAGACGGCCATTGCATTTGCAACCGCCGGAGCTGCTCGCGTCGCCCTCCTAGGACGAACCGAAGCCTCGCTCAAGCAGACGGCTGCCGCGCTGCCCTCCACCGTCTCGGCATCAGTCCACGTTGTCGACGTCACAAGCGAGGAGTCTCTGGTTCAGGCAGCCGCCGCCATTGGCACGTGGGACGTGCTCATTCTTGCGGCTGGCCACGTCGCCGCGCCCTCAACCATTGCGAGTTCAAACTTTGCAGACTTCTGGCAGTCGTTTGAGGTGTGTCCATTCTATCCATCAAGCACGTACAATGATACAATAATCACCACTACCTGATGGTGTCACCGTCGGCCTCGAACCGTAGACCTACAACTATATATGAAGCTTCTTGGGAAACACGTGCTGAGATGCGCTGGCCGCTTGGTCTCTTCGAAACTAGACCAACACCAAAGGCACCTATGCCTCGCTTCATGCCTTTCTGCCCACGGCGAATACTGCTCATGCAGCGGTCCTCGCAGTAACCACAGGCACTGCAACCCTCCCAGCGACCATGGTCCCAGGGCTATCAGCGTACATGGCGTCAAAGCTCGCGCAGACGAAGCTGATCGAGTTCCTGGCCGCCGAGCACTCGAATCTCTTTGCGGCAACCGTACACCCTGGCATGATTGAGACAAACATATTCACCAGGAGCGGTGCAAAAGCCGAGAGCCTTCCCATGGACAAAGGTGCGTTTCTACTTCTTGTTCTTGCCTTGCGACTTCAGGATCTTGGGGAGTCTTGACGTGTTAATGCTTTTGGCGTATGCTGCTAGTTCAACTTCCTGCGCACTTCATGGTCTGGCTGGCGAGCCCTGAGGCAGCTTTCCTCAGCGGCCGCCAGGTTTGGGCCAACTGGGACGTGGACGAGCTCAAGGCGAAGGCGGATGCCATTAAGCAGAGCCAGCTGTATACTGCCGGTATCAATGGGTGGCCCTTTACCCCATAGATGAGCTTGATAGAGACTTTCAAGAAGCAACAATGCACACACATTCGTTTTCTAACTGCCGAAAACATTTAGCATTATATCTTCAGAGTAGCACAACAATGTAGAGAAAATAATCTCGAGGCTCGAATCGGGCCCTCCTGACACCAACTCCGCTACATCAGCCATCTATTTCAAGTGCCTTTCGGCTCGAAGAAGTGGAGCGAGCAGCTTGTAGTAGACCGATCGATGGCCGGGGGGCTGGATCTCAAAGGGTTGCTCCATGATTATCGACAGGGATTCGAGACAGGATCGATCCTTCGGTCACACGTGAGCATGCCACCTCAAGCGACCTCAAGTGAGAAGCTATATCCGTGATACAACCGCAGTCATTGTATCACGTATTTGAAAGCGGAACCTGAGCCCCGTTGTTCTACGGCCTACATCAGGGAGGTTCAGAGGTCTTGAGAAAGACAAGAAACCGAGACAACGACTGAAATACCTCCACTGGATATGACAAGCTTAAGATCTCACGCCCACCCATTCCGCCGTTAAAGCAACCACCAGTGCCCCCGGTGCAAGCCAATGCAGTGGGTGGCCAATGACAGAGGCTCTCTCTGCCCAGTTAAGCGCCATTCTGTCATCCACGGCCACCGTTTGCGACCTCGACAGGGTTCCTCTTCCCGACTAGGCATAAGCGAAACAAAAACGTGCTGATGTCCTGTTGGTGTTGATGTCGAACAATTCCCTCTTGTCGTTGTCTGTGTCTGATCTAATTCGGAACCAACATCAACATGGTACGCAACCCCTCCATACCAAACCTCCAATGGCCTCACGACATGCCGACTAGACTGCGAATGCCGTAAGCGGACTTGACTTCGTGATAAGCCCGATTAAAATCGAACCGACGATTTGTCAACATCACGAAGGATGACATCTCATAGTTGTTGGCCGTGGTCCATTTGCAATCATCGAATCCTTCTGGTGTCTCCTCACTTATACCCCTCCGCGAGGCACTTTCGTTCAACCTCAACACTTGATTCCAATTCATTCTCCTACACGTTGTCATTCTCATCAACATCATGACCAGCTACAACTACATCATCGTCGGCGGCGGAACCGCAGGCCTGGTCCTGGCGGCACGTCTAACTGAAGACTCCTCAAAGCGCGTCCTTGTCCTGGAAGCAGGCGAGGACCTGACTGGGGATGCCCGCCTGTCAGTGCCGGCAATGTGGCCGACACTTCTGAACACAGACGCAGACTGGAAGTTCAAGACAGTCCCCCAGGTATGTGAGCAAGTCAATGACATATTGTCTCCAAACAAATACTCCATCACCAATGGGCCTCCAGCTCACAGATGGTTCAACCCAGCCCGGCCTCAATAACCGCGCCATTTCCTTTCCCCAAGGCAAAGTCCTCGGCGGCTCCAGCGCCATCAACGGCCTCTCCTTTACGCACTCATCCAGGGCAAATGTAGATGCTTGGCACAAGCTCGGCAACCCCGGCTGGGACTGGGACAGCTTTTCGCGGTCGCTGGCCAAGTCGTACACCTTGACGTCGCCGTCCGCAGATGTCACGGGCTCGGGACCGCTCCAGCTCAGCTACCCCAAGGACACCGACAATGCCTGGCCGAGCATCTGGCAGCAGACGCTCGAGGGGCTGGGTTTCCCCAAGAGCGAAGAAACCACCAGACAGGCCTGCGGTCCCCTCTTTGTTCCAGACACCATCCATCCAGCGTCCAAGACGAGGAGCTACGCTGGAAATGCCTATCTGGAGCCGGCCCGCAGTCGCGACAACCTCACCGTCATCCCCAAGGCTGCAGTCAACAGGATTCTCTTTGACAAGAACGGGGACGCAGTCACTGCCACGGGCGTCGAGTATATCAAGGACGGCGAGACGCAGACCGCCACAGGCAAGGAGATCATCCTGACCGCAGGCACCATCAACAGCCCCCGGCTGCTCGAGCTGTCCGGAATCGGCGATGCAAAGCGCCTGGAGAAGCTGGGTATCAACGTCGTCGTCAACAACCCCAACGTCGGCGAGAACCTGCAGAACCACCTCATGTGCGGCCTAAGCTTTGAGGCACAGGACAACGAGAAGACCATGGACAGCCTCGCGCGCCAGGACCCGGCTGCTCTCCAAGCCGCCATGGCCGCCTACGCGCAGCAGCTGGGCCCCTTTGCCAGCAGCGGTACCAACAACGCCGCCCAGCTACCGTTCCCAGGCATCAAGACTGCCGAAGGCAAGGCCGAGCTCGAGGAGCTCATAAGCAAGTACATCACCAGCGCCAATACGGGTGACAACGCCGCCTTCGTCGAGGCTCAGGCCAACTTTGTCCGCTCTATACTGACGTCGCCGGAGGAGGCCTCGGGATACTACATCTCGTTCCCGGGCTACGCAGCCTTCAACCCCGACGGCACAATGGCTCCTCCGCCCGCCGGCAACGGCAAGCACTTCTCCATCGCTCTCCTTCTGGCGCACCCGCTCTCGCGAGGCTCCGTTCACATCACGTCCGCGACCGACGTGGCCATCGACCCCCGCTACTTCTCGCATCCCCTCGACATCGAGGTCCTCGCGCGCCATCTCGGCTTCGTCGAGTCCATTGCCAGCGCCCAGCCGCTCGCCAGCCACCTCAAGGCGGTTGAGAAGCGCAACACCGCCGTCGAGCAGGCCAAGGAGTACCTGCGCCGGACTGCGGTGGGCGCTCATCACTTCACCGGCACCTGCTCCATGATGCCTGAGGCCCTGGGCGGCGTGGTGGATGCGCAGCTGCGCGTCTACGGCGTCCCCAATCTGCGGGTTGCCGACGCCAGCATCATCCCCCTGACACCGCGGGCGAATCCTCAGGCGACGGTGTATGGCGTGGCCGAGCATGCGGCGGCCATTATAAAGGGGGACATCTAGACGATGACTGATGGACTGATTGCGCTCAACAAGTGTCTATCTCATGGTATCAATTAGAATGGGTAGCGTGTATGGAAAGTTGCAAAGTACTCTGCATGTGTGCTTATGCCTGATCCCAGGCCACCCGTTGAGCTGGGGTATGGCATTCATCCTCATGGCATCGAAAGTTTCCCTCAGCACGCCTTTGTACTATATCAAACCTATAACATATTGCTATCTAGGGCATCCAGCATCAGCCATCAATCATGTCTTAGCCAGTAGTCAACACATCCTCTCTCCGAGTCCAGTAGGCCCGTGTGAGTGTAATACGTGTCAGGCCAATTGAAGATCTTGCTCCCAGGCTCAATATCACTAACACCAATTCATTCATATTCAAGGAGGTTCTATCTCAGTCAATGATTGTCCCGTTTATCCTTCCAAGCAAGTTACACAGTCGTTTGTGTACTCCCTTCCACCTTCACTCAGTCCAAGAACGCTCCTCGCCACTCGCTTCTTTCCACATCCACATAAAACTTGGCCCGCTTGAACTGACATATAGTCCGCCCTTGATATGCAGTGTATGTCGTTGAACCGAAGCCACATAGAATCTGGCCGTTTCATCTACTTGCAGTTCTACTGGGGGTTCCTAGTTCCTAAACCATTATACGGTTCTTCCTTTAGGGTCTCTCCCAACCAACGATCCATCATCGCGTCCTTGTGATTGAGGGTATCCAGCTGCTGGAGTAGGGTCTTGAACAGCGGCGCATTGGGATTCTCAGCCTTCAGCAGAAGTCAGCAGAATCCTTTTTCAAAATATTATGGTAGGCTCACCAGAACAAGTTGTCCTCCAGACTCTTCACGTGAGGCCGAGGACTTGCTGGTATTGGCTTCGCATGAATCCATTGCTTCTTTGAATGAGAATAGCTTGTAAAGCTATAAGACGTCCCTCTTATGTTTGAGTTCGATGCAGATAGACAATGATAGACAACAATGCGCCAGAGCTTCTGATGGAATGAGAATGAAGGAGAAGAAGGATATCGTTCGATATGAGCCTGGAGATGAATGGGGTATATCTAGGAAAGAAAATGGTATCATATATGCTCAAGTACAAGGCAAGAAACCAGGGGAAATGCAAAAGAGAAACACAAGAGCATTATAAGCGAAACTTTCATTTGGCCAGACTACCTAGACTGCGTGAATCTCCTTTGTATCCACAAACTTTCGACATTCTTTCAACTTTGCTACGGGTTACTTTCAAGAAGTTGGAAACCGGTTATCGAAGGGATGGCAACTTCCAAGATCTTCGAGACGCCGTCATGACCTGCCCTCGGAGGAAAATTGTGGAATTCGACTATATTTGACATAAGCTGGATATCATCAATATAGTGCGCTGTCTGTTGCAGATTTGCGGGCAACGTTGCAAAGTATTAAGGTAGTGGCCAAACTGAAGCTTCCCAAGCCTCTCATACTCAGTCTCATCATCCGAAGACTGCCCAGGCCAGTTGAAGCTGTCTGGCTTTACGTCAGAAGTAGCCTTGTTCGAGCTGTCCTCTTCGAGTGTTTTGAGGCGTCTGCTATGCCTAAAGGCTACGAGCTCGTCTCCACTGTAGGAGAGAGCGGATTGGCTTCTGGCTCTGTCTCGCACAAGGAAAATGTCACGCTTTCGCGAATCAACACAGGGGTAGGGATCTTCTCGGAGGCGATGCCGATGATTAGGAACAAAAGGGGGGCGGCCAACAGCCCAGAACTGGGGTGTTTTCTGTTTTGGGATATTCCAAACTTTCAGAAAGTTCAACAGAAAGAGATATCAACTTCGGTGCCCAAACGAAGCCTCTGTCCCTGATTATCGGAACTTTCAGACCATTGGACCATGCGTTTGACTGCACCAATTTGAATCGTGACTTGTGGTGTTCTCTCAATAAAAAGCCTCCCCCAGGTGCAGGTGCTACGTGGCCGGCGGCGTGACATTGGAAACTTTTGGGAAATTCCTATTGGTGCAATGTTCAAGATCGTTTGGGAAGATGGGAAGTACGGTCAGAAATGTTTCAAATCCTGCCAAAAATCTTCCCATCTCGCGTGGCGATTGGTCCTACCTGCACAGCTTTCGCGAATACGGCGATGCAAGGGATCGGGCTTGGCAAAAGTTCAGCTTGGACACACACTTTCGTCCAGAAATTTCTCAGCCTCTGCTCGAACTTTCAGTTTACGAAGCAGCGATTGGTCCTTGCACGGCAGTGCAAGGCATGGCATTCGAAAAGTTTGAACTTTTGAAAGACGGCCCCTGACCTTCAAGATGAACCTCGCCGTTCAATGCAGAATACTCTTCAGTTGGTTCTTCCGAATCAAGCAATCTTGCAGTATTCACATCCTCCTTTTGACAGTCAGTTAGCCCTCATCTGACTCGCCATGTCTTCGAGCACACGCAACAAGGTGCGGAGCCCACCTTCGCATGCTTGGATTCAGCACAAAGGCGAGATTGAGCAGATGTATGTTGTACAGAAGTGCACCTTGAAAGAAGTCATGAAAGCTATGGAGGCGAAAGGGTTCAAAGCTAGGTAAGGAAGCTTTCCGGAAAACCATCGCAAGTGAGGCTAACTGAGAGCAAATACATAGTGAACAGCAGTACAAAATCAAGTTCAGCGAGTGGCAGATATCCAAGTACAAGACGAAAGGAGCGCGGAACCGAGCTGATCAAGCTGGGTCAAGTACGAGTACGTGCCATCCAAATACGCTGCCTGACTTATACAATATCTGAGAGATTGTCTAGGCGAGACTGATGGACGGGTGGTAGCGAATCCCCAGCTGGCAAATCCCCAGCTGGCAAATCCTCAGCTACCAAATCCTCCGCCTCTGCGAGTAAGCTGATTTGTGACAATAACCATGGCCACTTACTGATCAATATGATACAGGCGCCCTTTGTAGACGCACCCATCGGCGACATTAATTTTGTTCCTACGATGGAATACTTTTCACATAATCTTTTCAGCCATCCTCACACCTTCGAACCAATAATTCTCGGGATCCAGCAGACTGAAGGAGCAGTGGTTCCGTTAATACCGCGCACACCTGGCCAAAGAGTCTGCCAACCTATCCATCAAGCAGCGCGATCCGGAAACCTCGACATGATAAAGCTTTTGCTAGAGAAGGATTTCTCATGCGCGTCAGTTCCTGATGAACACGGCGTGACGGCAATCTGGGCTGCCGCCTACTACGGCCATCTCGAAGCTGTCAGACTCTTGCTTAAGTGCTGTGGCGTTGATATCAACGCTGCCGCCACGGAATACATGCGCACACCCATTCAGCAGGCGGCACAGAATGGCCACGTCGAGGTGGTTAAGATACTGTTGGAGGCTGGTGTTCAAGTTGACCCACACATGGACAGCTACGATATCGAGATGCCCTCTCCCCTATGGCTTGCGGCTCAGGGAGGACATGTTGAGCTTGTCGAGCTTTTGATTCGAAAAGGCGCTTACGTTAACTTCTCAGTCCATCCATCAAAGCGCTTACCAATACACGCAGCCACCGAGGACGGGCATACCGAAACAGTCCACCTCCTCATCATAAACGGGGCGGATATAGACGCTCGAGAAGAGGACGGCTGGTCTCCCCTTGCAATTGCAGCTAATCAAAACCATATCGGGGTCGTCAATCTTCTCCTGGAACATAACGCGAATGTGAACGCCGAAGGAGAAGATGGTGTGACTGCGTTGTGGTTGGCTTCGCAAGAGGGACACGTGCAGGTTATCCAGGAGCTTTTGGACAAAGGTGCGAAATCCATAGCAACCAGATCCGACCAAAGGCGACCAATCCACCAGGCAGCGCGATTCGGACACCTTGAGGCAGTCAAGCTGTTGTTGAAGCACGATCCGGGTGATAGCAACATAGCAGATGGGACAGGTAGCACTCCCTTACTTCTTGCCTCTCGGGGAGAAACGGCGAGTCATGTCGAGGTTGCGCGCTATCTGATCGAGCACGGCGCGAGTATCGTTCTCGGTACTTAAAGCTTGATAACTCAATATGTCAACGCATGACCACAAGAGACGGAGGAATGGAAAACATTATGAGCAAAGGCATCTAGATACTTTATTCCATTCGGACAAACTAACTAATTGATGCTCTTCGCTTGTTCTTCTGTTGTGCTGTGAAGAAATGAATACATCATTGCTGCCATCGAACTGAACCCATAGACGTACATCCGGCGGGACATATTGTCCACGAGGAGATGGAACTATCTACTACAGCCAGCCAGCAAGATTCGGAATAACTGAGAATACGATTTCATGCCTCCAAGTCGAAAAGGGGGAGTCATCACTTGAACTGGTAAGAACACCGGAAGACTAATCAACTAAGAAGAGACTTGATCCTTTCGACTTGCATCTGCTCAACTCATATTGACCTCTTTTTTGTCATCTCATTGCCATGTAGGCACAGACATCTGCGTTAATCCTCCATAGTAACACCAAAGGCCCAAACCATCAAGGGGCTCAACCCCTCCATCTCACACCCCCTAAACCAACGCAACCCCCAATCTCAACACAACCCAAAGAGACACCGCAACACAAAACAGACCAATACAGAGCAAAAAAGACAAAAAGAAAAACATACAACAGCCGGTGTTCGCTGGTGGTCACCCACCCAACTACTAATCTGCCGGTTAGTGGCTTATCTATGGGGGAGCAGACGGGACCCCGAGTTTTCCACTACCTATGGTCGTATGTGCTTGTTTTCTCTCTCCACCAGCTTATATGCGACGCGACTCTCGATGCAGGACTGCATCAACGACAACTGAATACTCCTCGATATATAAGTGCCTGTCTGCAGAATCATTTAACAACAACCTAGGTATCAAGGTCCCCTTGAATTCCTGAAAGTAAATTAGTCACACGGCTTGTTGACGAACAGACTTTTCATTATTCCGAGCTGCGGAACTAGCCTCCATCGCCATCAAGATGTTCTCTTATAATTTGATAGGGCCACATACTCGAGTTATACCAGCACCTCGGTGCATTCATCGGGACATTAATCTTCGGGGCATTCATATTCGGGTTATTCCATTTCAGAGGACTCAATTGAGGCTCCGGTCTACTAGGTAAGTAATGTCTCAAAGCAAACACTCATCACGAATGCATATCACGCAACAGACCCGCAGACATTGTCTATGGCTTCTTGTATTTTTTTCTTTTTAAGAATCCGTGACTATGCAAGAGGGCACTTTGGCATCCTCAAGCAAGCGCATAACTACATGTAAGTAAGACACTGATAGATTCTTTCCCCGACAATCATTACCCATGATGCATTTCATTTTGTTGGCTCATAACACCCCCCCAGCTTCCGCTCGCTTACAGCTTCTGCATGGCGACAATGTCGGAGGACTGGACGTAGTCCTCAATCTCCTGGATCTGCTCCTGGAGCTCGTCCAGGGAAACCTTCTCATCCTCAACAACCAGGTTGATCTGCAGCTTCTTGATACCGAAGCCGACGGGGACCAGCTTGGAAGCACCCCACAGCAGACCATCCTTCTCAATGGCACGGACGGCAGCCTCCATGGCAACCAGGTCGGTCTCGTCATCTAGAGTTGAAGAGTTAGCATCAAAGTATGGCAAGAGGTAACCTGAGAGACTGCGCCAAGAGCAACAGTATCGGCAGGAAAGAAACAAAAGGGATCAAACTCACCCCAAGGCTTCACGTCCAGGGTGACAACAGACTTGGCGGCAACCTTGGGCTTGGCAGCCTTCTTCTCGCGGTAGGCAGCCAGACGCTCCTCACGGATACGGGCAGCCTCGGCATCCTCCTCCTCGTCGTCGGAGCCGAACAGGTCGACATCATCATCGTCGGCGGAGGCCGCGGGGGCCTTGGCGGGGTTCACGGTGAGCTCGGACTCCTCAGGGCCGTAGACGGTGTAAGGCTTGCTGGCGTCGCCCTCGAGGGTGGCGAACTCATCCTCGTACGTGGCGATGTGCTTGTACCAACGGGCGGCAGCGGGGTACTTGTCGGCGCTGGGAGCCTCCTTGAGGGCCTTGAAGACGGCAACGTCGGCCTGGCTGGCGTTGTAGCTGTAGATGGCGGGGGAGGGGTCAGTGAGGGGTGTCTCTCTCGTTTGGATTTTTTTTTTTCTTCTTTGGGCCGTCATGCAGGCACTGAGGGGTGAAAATTATGAAAGAGGGGCTGGGCTGCATGCACATCATCGACAGATTGTGCCGCAGAGAGGGAAGGGAAAGAAAATTTTATAGCATGTGCGAGGGCAGGGTCGTGATTCAGGGACGGGAGAAGCGCATCGTCGTCGCGGCGCAGAGGGAAAGGAGCGCATACCCAGTGATGTAGGAGCGGGTGGAAACCCAGTTGTTCAGGACTGTCGAGCCTCATCGTTAGCCCACCTGTCTCTGTTGTCTCTGTGTCCAGCAGCGCAGAGGCGAGGATTTCACTTACGGGTGAGGCCGGCATCGGAGAGGAGATCGGTGAAACCCATGGCTGCGATTGTGTGTGTGTGTGTGAAATCGAGGGCGAGAGAAGAAAGGATATGGAGAGAGAGAGGTCGTCTGGTTGAAGAGAGCTGGAAGAGTTGGGTATCTACTGGAGAGGAGTCACAAGAAAAAAAAAGATTGCACCAGATGGAACTGCGCAGTATTGATGCAAGGCAGCCCCCCCCACCACTGCGGGAGCCCTAGTAGAGGGGTAGCGGCCTGAGGCATCAACTGCCTAAAAGCCAGCGCTTCACCCCGCCTTGACGACGAAAAAAATTGTCGAAACGTGGCGCACGTGGATGATTGACGCTGTTCAGCCGCATGTTGCGCCACAGTTGCCCCGCGGAAGAACCCCACCACAAACTGAGGCTTGAACTGAAGACTTCACGATAGTACATACACACCTAACTGACGACTTCATGTTTCATTCAGCCTACCTAGGTATATCCTCACCATCATCTCAATGCTCGCAGAAATTGTACGACATACTCTCAACCGTCTGCTCCGCCTTGGCCTCGTACCGCGACCGCTCGTGCATCAGCCTCAGCCTGTGCTCCCGCGCCTCCTCCACCGTCATGAGGCTCTCCGGAACTGCTTCTTTCACGCCGTCCTCCCTCTTCATGTCTGGCAACGACTCGCTCCACCAGTCCATCTGCTGCGGCGGCACGTTGGCCGTGGACACGATGCGCTCGTGCGGATCAACCAGCCACAGCGCCAGGAACCTCCTGTGCCCCGGCCTGGTGGCGTCCTTGAGCCGGAACGACGAGACTCGGTGTTGACTAAGACAGGCGATGGATGAGTTACACTGATCAGCAGCAGGTGTGCGTAAAGATAACTCACAAGACGTTTGGAAAGGCGAGCAGCCGTCCCTGGCACGTTCGCACATCCCCGTAGTTCTGCAGACAGGGCGAGCCATGTCCGAGAGGCGTGCCATAGACACGCTCCAGGTAGTTATACTGGTCTTGGCCACTGTAAATCTCCTCCTGAAGCCCGCTGTCCGTCTGCATGCGAAACGACAGATGGCTGTCCGTGACATTCTCACTGTCGAGGTAGAACAGCGCCGTCGCGCATATCCTCTCGTTCATCTGCCCCTCAACCTAGGAACACCGTCAGTTTCCGCTCTCCAAAGCAGCAAAGTCAAGGGGAGCAAATAGCAGCTTACATGCCACGACCCAGCCGGAAAATAGGGCTTCTCCGGCGTCAGCTCGATGCTGGCCATCTTGACAATGACCTGCAGCCCGTGCTCCTTGAACTTCTCGCGCAGCCTCTGCGGAGGAGTGTAGTCATAGTCATTCTCCTCCCAGCGGTTCGGCTCCGGCAGGATCGCTTCTCGGTCCACGACCCATTTTCCAGGGATGATTCTTTCACCCATGCTTGGCTTGATCTTGTCTGGATTTATATACCTATATCGATACGCGTCGTCCTCCGGCAACCGATACACCATTGAGCTTGTCCACAGCTCATCGTCTTCGTCGCTAATGGTGTGCAGTCAGTAAGTATCATTTTCCGTCCCACAACCCGAAACGGTCCACGGACTCGCTGCGGGAAAACGTACCTGGCATCCATGACCAAGTCAAAGCGCGAGTCGTCTCGCCCGGCGACAATGTTCTCTCTGTAACCCAGATTCTCGCGGAGGCACTGATCCCACGCCGGAATGGCTGCATCAATGGCGTGTTCAATCGCCTCATAAATTGCTGGGTATTTCCGCGGATGTAAGTTGTTGACATAGCTGGTCAACTTGGCCGTCCCGTCCTCTCGAAAGACTACATTGGTTGGCAGCCATTGATATAGGCTCGAGCGATATTCGGGCGGGACAACCCCTATGCTGTTTAGTTGCCAGGCCATGTCCATGAACCTTGATCCATAATCTGGCAGGCGGGTGATTTCAGGCACAATGCTGCCTTTGCCGACGGACGCAAAGGCGTTTTCTCTGTCGACGACTTCTTCAAAGATGAAGCTCGATCGGCCTTGTTCGATACGTCGGTGGTTAGGTCTGGTTTCCAAAAGGGTAGCCGGAAGAGAAGAGAGTTGCATACCAAAGACGAACGGGTACATGGATGGGTGAATCAGATTCTGCACCATGTCGTTCGTCCCAGGGTGCCAGTCCACGTTGCCAGCCTGGTCTGCCCGCAGCGTCTCAAACGATGTCTTCAACTCATCCCAGAGCTGAGAGCTGACAACGGTATCAGACTTAACAACGGTGTTCCCCGCCGAGTCAAGAGTAGGAATCAGCCCGGTTTGAGCAAAATACGCAGCTTTATTGCGCAGCTCAGCAATGCACTATACATCTCATCAGTTCTCTCGTTTTCGTTTCATTAAGAAGAGGAACAAGCCACGAACAAAGTCAAAAGCCTTTTCAGAGATGATTCTGGTCTGAGGCATGGGAATCTGCTCGCTCGACACCTGCTTCCCCTCCATGATGCGCGCAAAGAGGCTGTTTTCCGACTGCGTCCTCGCCTCCTGCCACCACTTTCGCACAATGGCGTCGTCAAATACCTTTTCGTGCCAGTTTGGCTTGTCCGTCAGCTTTTCCATCAGCAGCATCATAGCCACCTCTCGGATAGGTAGGATCTTGGAATCAGATCCTCGCGCCTGAGGCATGCCAATGGGGTAGATGGGCTGGTCTTCCGTACGAGCCCGCACCGACTTATTCACCGGCATATTGACGCCGGGATACTGAAAGACGGGCATGTCGTCCTTTCTGGACCGGAAGGCCGTCAATGGGTTTGACAAGAAGGTGACGACCTTGTCGAGGGTTGATGTGCTTGGGGGTGAGTAGATGTCGGCAGTTCTCCGATAGTTTGGCTCGCTCATGGGAGGGAGGTCTGGGAGAGAAAACGCCTTTTTAGTCTCCTCGTCCACCGGTGTCTGTGCACCCATGAGTCTTCTCTTGGGCATCTTGAGCGGGTCCTTCTAGGCAGGACTGGAGTTGTTTGCAAGGTATTCAAGATTCCAACGCCAAGCCACGAACAGACTGCAAGCCATTAGGCCGGCCAGAGCTTCTCGATATTAGTTAGATATAAGTATGTGGAAATGGCTTGTTCAAACCGGGTAGCCTGCAGGCAATAGTGCCGTTGGCCCTAGTACACGTATAAGAGTCGTCGGGAAGTGGAGTCTGGTCAGGAACGCCAGGCAGCAGGTCCCCCGGATATACGAAGCGTGAGGTTTCACAGGCTTTTCCCTCGTCTTTCCTCACACGCCGCAAAGCAATGGGACGGATACTCTTTTCGGCAGTAGCCGAGTCGCGCAGTTCTGCCTGATTCAGTTGCTTGTCTTGGAAGTCGAGCGGAGACCGATCTCGCATCTGCAACTGGCGTCAACTAAATTCGGAAGGCTTTAGCTCTTTTCAAGCTAGAGTTGCGCCGATAAATCAGGAGTCCACTTTCGATCAAAGTTGGGGGACATGATCTGGGCATTGTGAAGCTTGGATGAATACTCCAGCTAATCCAGCTGGTCGAAAACTGCACCTCGAATGGCATGAGAATTGGGAAGCAATTTAGATTCTTCCAGTTTACACTTTCGGTAAGGGCAGAACCATTGCATGATTCTACATGACACAGACTGAATTTCTTGCCGTGGTGACCTCAAGTTGAAGAAATGTTCTCTCTGACGTTCGAGTCATAAGTTGCTAATGTAAGAGTCTCACAACTTGCTCGCATATTGAACTACAACCGTACAGACCGAATCGTGCATCAGCAAAAGGTGAGAAAATTCTTCTTCTTTTCCCTTTTCTCTGTTTATTCTCTGCCCATCGGTGAGCAGAATCACATCGAACTGTCAAGCATCTGCAATGCCAGCCTTCATCACAGGGTAGCCAAGCCCTCCACACCCAAAACCGCGATCCACTCCAGCGCCATATAAGCCAAAACGTTGCAACACACAATGTAGTAATCGTCATTACATTCAAAGTGAGACAGCAAAACAAAAGCCAAACATTTATCTACACAACTTGATCTGAATTGCCAAGAAGCAAGAGAAGAACGTCATATAAGCAAGTGCAAAAAAAGACAAAAAAATATGAGAAAGAACAACCCGACAGAGACAGGATTCGAACCTGCGAGGCCGAAACCATATGATTTCTAGTCATACCCATTAACCACTCTGGCACTCTGCCTATGGCTGGGTTGTTATGCTAGGGACTCACGGTGAATCAACTATGAGCCTAGCGCATCATCACCCGGCCATGAAAGTCGCAGCACAACTGACTGCAAACCCGAATAGTTTACAATCATCGACGAGCAACTCAGACAAACAATTCGGTCAGGAGCCACTAGCAGAATCCTAAAGACGCCAAACAAGTCGTCTTGGATAGGCGGCCGACTTGAGCATCAGAATTGTTCTCTTTCTGCTAATTCCGGTTCAAACAATCCTCCTCGATTCGATATTCCACCACAGAAGAGAAGTAATTTGTGTCAAGCTCGACTTCAATCTCACTTCTCATCAACAATACATCCCTAACTACCAATGTGCATGAACATGCAATTATACACTTCCAAATCCAAGACCAATTCCCCAATTCCGCTTTCCCCAAATACCACCGCCTCCTCCATAACACATTCAACTCCCTCATTCACACCTTCGACGTCCCCTCACACGCAACAAACGCATTTCCATCCGCCCCAGTATGCGTAATCACACCCGCAATCTCACACTCCCCATCAATCACCACACGATCCGGTCCAGGACGTCCTAACACCTCACAGTCAGTCTCTCCATCCATTGTCCACCTTTTCCCCTCCCCCCCCACCAAGAGCGCACACAACCATGATCAGAATTTGTACTCACCACCATCATACGTCTCGCCCGAAGAAAGAATCGGAAACTCGTAAAACGGCCCCTCAAGCCCTTTGAAGTAGAAATCCTCATAGTTCTTATACCGATGCGGATACGTCGATCCGCCCGCAGTCTCTCCCGTCTGGACATACTCACACGCAGCGGCAGACGCCGAGGCGACGGCCTCCGAACTGTAGTACACCGTGCCACATGTAGCCTCGTCACTCGCGGCGAGCTCAGCTAAGGGAGCGGCGCTGACAAAGGCGACGAGCGAAAGGAGATTGAGAAACTTCATCTTGACTTGGCGACGGCGTAGGATGTGCAGACAGATACTCAGAGAAACCGTCTACTGAAAGGTGTGCCAGCAGTTCGTCACACTCTGAGTGAAAGACTGGGTGCAACGAGATATATAGATACACCCAGAGCCCGTACTCTTGCTCCCTTGCATCGAATGTCTCGGCTCGTAACACAAGACTTAATCACTTGAGGAGAGTGAACCTATCATCAGGTATATATAATGCAGCACAAGTTACGCCAAATCGTGACCAAGCGAGCACAATAAGGTAGCCAAGAGTTGCCCGGAATGAATACATGCACAGGTGAAACGAACAAATGACTAGACGCACAGCGAATTCGATGTGTGACACGGCTGGGATGGAAGTCATGAGCCCGTATTCTATCTGGTGATAACGCATCCCGTCAGCATGGCCTTCAGTGTATGTAAGAAGTGCAACCTGTACATTACTTCCATCTTCTTGAATTCCGCAGTTACCCTTTCATTCTCAAAGTTCAAAATGGAGGCATGACCCATGACTCAAGCTTTCTCCAATAAGGCTCCCAGCTCACAGCATGCGCGTGTCATTCTCAATCTCATCCGCAAATGTCTTTCAAAGCTCAGAGTGTAGATCCCGGTTTCAAGAGAAGCATGCATCTCGTAAAAAGGGCATTAGAGGAAGCACCGGGGCTGGCTGGCTGGCTGGCTGAATGACACTGGTACACATGAGGCTGTCAACTCATTATCTGGTCAAGATCACCCCATTGCGCAATCATATCGATTCTCTCTATCCCCGCCACAATCATGTCGAACAAGAGAGCATTTCCCAAATCATGGCATCGAGCACGCCTTGCAGTACTCCAAAAAACAACAAGCAGCTGTTGTTCCAGCGCCGTGCAAAAGAACACGCCTCACCCGACGCCTCTCAAATTCTCTACAAACCACACGCCTCAGCAAGAGTAAACGAACCTCTTACAAACATTTCATACACTCACAAGCCAAGAAGGGAAAAAAGAACGAAAAAGAAAAAAAAAAGCAAAAGATTTAACAGAAGCACAGGAGCAAAAGAAGAGGGCCAAACCGTGGATTGAACACGGGACCTCTTGCAGTTGAGCACGAAAAACAGCAACCCAAAGCAAGAATCATACCACTAGACCATTTGGCCTCTAAGCGCAATGACTAATATTCTCACTCTACCTTTTATAAAGCCCCTTCTTACATTCCAACCTGCCCCCACCTCCCCTTGTCACTATTTCCTACCCCAAACCACATCCGCCTTAGCGTCAACTTGTCGTCCGATGTGTGTACAAAGTACCCACATGCTTGAACCCCACGCTCCCCCCACGCACGCACCCACTTCTCCCATCATGACAGAAAACCAAGAGCAAAAAAAAAAGGAAGGCCCGTGGGAAAAAAAAAAAAAAAAGACAGGAGGAAAGAAAAAAAAATCCTGGAGACACGGGGATTTGAACCCCGGGCCTTCTGCAGATGCCGTCGTCCACAAAGGAACCAATGCAAAGCAGACGTGATACCCCTACACCATATCCCCTAGGTTGAAATGCCGGCTTCATATCCATCTCTATCAAGGATACACACACAAACTCACACAATTCTTCCAATCAACTCAAAGCAATAAAAATGAGATGGTTGACAAGAAGAGATGAGCAGTGAAAAGACTCTATGGCCTGGAGCACTTGATGGAATGGACAACAATCGGAAACCATCTTTCCAAGACCCTCGAACTCGTCTTTGCGATGCTCTGAACGGAGAACTTCACCAAAGCCTCATCCCATCTGCAGGGAGGCCCTACAGACCCTCCCGAAGCGAAAAAACATGGGGGAAATCGACGCTACATCTGAGACACCGCACGTCACCCTGCTTCCAGTGAATGACCTCACCTCTTCCACTGTAGATTAGAACTTAATCCATACATCTCCTCATTAAACACATTCAGACACCCATCAGTCCGTCGAATTATTACAAAGCTAGACCCCCAATCCGGCATCTGAAATATTAATTATGTATTCATATCTACATGACGCGAAAGGAAAACAACTGATTACAACATGGCTCTAGTCTTATGTACCCGTAAAGACATATATACTACGTAGCATCTCAATCATGCTCATTAGGTATACAAACTCATTAAAAAAAAAACATCAAAACGCTACCAGCATGTAGCCAAGGGCAGCAACAGTAAACAGCACCGTGCCTGTCAAGCCCTGGGCACTCATAGATGCTGCCGAGTCCTTGTCGTCGTCGGAAGAGTCGCTCGTGTCGGGCGAGGGCTTGGTAACAGCATTGGGAGTGGGAGAGGCGGTTTCTTCCCTAAAGATGGGCTTCGTAGTGGATGGCGCGTCGCCGTCAGAGGTTGCTGTCGCCGTGGCCGTCTCTTCCGCCGCTGTGGAAATTGAGGTGGGTGTTGGACGGTACTTTTCGTCGAGGGTAAACTGGTCCAGAATGCACTCGTTCATGAGCTTGTTGTCGGTGTAGTTGCCGGGCTTGCCGAGGGGAGTCAGAGTCAAGATGTACGACGTGTCAAAGCTGCCGGCACCCCAGCCCACAAAGCCAATGTAGACGTCGCTGTTTTCGCTAATGGCCTTGTTCTGGGCGCAGAAGGCAGTCATGCACTGTCCAATGGTCAGTAAACGTCAGCGAGCTGGTAGGTGACTGACTCGTCATCTTACCGAAGGTTCCATGGACGCGCCCGTTTCGGAGATGATGGCCTGGCGCTTGTTCTGCCTCAGCCAGTCCGCGAAGTCGTTGAAGGCGTCGACGTTGTCTGTGGTGCACTCGGCGTGCGACCCGGAGTTGTTGATGTCGAGATACTTGTGGACATCAAAGTACAGCAAATCGGTGCTTCCATCCGGGTTCGTAATCTTGCCGAGGGCTTCCGCGCTGCCAGTGGACACATACGTCTCGACGCTGGCAAAGTTGGTTCCGGGCAGGAGGATCATCTGCGAGGTGGCGCCGGCCTTTCGGATCGCAGTGACGACCTTTTGGCACGTCTGCGCCCAGATCTCAATGTCGAGGTCGTGCGGCTCGTTCATCAGGCCAAAGATGATCTTGTCGTTGTCCTCGTAGTACTTTGCGATCTGGACCCAGAGGTCGACAAAGATGTCGTCCGACACGCCTCCCTGGCCGATGATGCCGCCGTTGTAGCGGGCAAAGTTGTGCATGTCAATCATGCAGTAGGCGCCCGTCTCGAGACAGGCGTTGACGACCTTGTTGTAGGAGCCCCAGTTGAGCTCGTCCAGCTTGCCGTCCACCGTGTTGTTGAGGACAAACTGCCATGTAGCGGCTGCCATTGGGCGTTAGTGGCCAGACACAGACAGTCACACGAGCGCAGCCACCACTCACATATGCGAAAGACGTTGAGGCCGTCGTCTTCGGCGAAATGCTTCATCTGGCCGGCGCCATCTCCTCCTTTGTAGCTCAGCAGGGGCACAGACGACGTGTCAGTCGGACAGCTGCCGTCGATGTCGCAGCCAAAGTCGATTCCGGGAATGGCGACGCCCAGATATTTGATCTTGCCGGCGAGGGCATCGCCAGCCACGGCCAAGGCGGCGGCCAGAAGGGAGGTTGCGCGCATAATGAGAGGGAGAAACGAGGAGCGTCGCACAAGCACCAGGAAGAGGCCGAGGGATATATCCGATTAACGAGATGGTGTATTAATTGTACGTCGACGTGTTGAGCGAGGGAAAAAAAGCTGTCCGTATATTACCACTACCTAGTCGAACAAATGGCAGCAGATTGCAGAAGATGACGGATTAAAAGAGAACGAAGAACGAAACAAAGTGCTAAGCAGAATGCCAACGAGCAGAGCCGACGACAGCGAGAGTAACAGAAACGAGTGTGTGTTAATGCTGCGTCATGGCTCGCAGAGAGAGCGGCAATGAGGAGAGTGGTGACGGTGATGGGGGAGAAGGGGAGGAGGAGGAGGAGGAGGAGGGGAGGAAGAATGAAAGAGAGAGGCAGAGCGAGAGAGAGAGAGAGGCTGATTCACGAGATGGAGGAGACGAATCGTAACACAAAGCCGGGGGATCCAAGGGTCTCCCCTAGACTACCTGTAGTGAGGCGGGTGAAGCTGGAAGTGGTCGGGTCAGTCCCCCTTCAGCGCATCTACAGCGCTCGAGGCCACCGCTGCAGCGGGCAAAGGCGCCTGTACTCCGGGCTCCTTTAGGGGGGCTGCAGCCGCTGGCCAGGCTCCGTCGGCGGGTGATGTGGCTGTGAGCAGCTCGGGTCGGCATTAGCGCTCGTGTTGGCGGCCTGTTTGGGCATAGCGGGCGAGCGCGGAATTCGTATTCAGTCAGACGTTGACGGAACTGAAGGGCCGAAAAGAGCGAAAGAGCATCCATGCGGGTTATTTTTGTTTGTATTTTTTGGGTATAAGTACGAGATTGTTGCTGAATTGGATACGAAAGATATCAATGTATGTGGATTGACGTGTTTGTTTGTATGTACCTATGTGGTCGTCGCTGGGTTCGGGGCTGTGTCACGTCATGTCGAGTGAACTGACAGCCGCCTCTGCCTCGGGCCATCACAATCATGTTTCAACGTCAACAAGACATCCATGTAGACAGACGTCCATCAATATGATTTGCAGGGTCTTGATGCGCTACAGCAGACTGTGACTGTCTACAGTAGTACATAGAAAACAGCCCCGTTTCGCCCGCAGTGGGACAGACCCTGGAGCCGCCAAGTCGAATCCAGCCCATTCTGTCATGATGTCGGATTCAATACGAGCAGTTGGACGGGTCAGGATTCGCCTGTTGTGATAACAATTCGATGACAGTTTGTAGATCATAAACACTCGACTACTTCTTCTCCTCTTACAGACTGGACATGTGACTTCAGTCCGACTTCTTGATAATATTCGCAGGAAATTCTTCAACGTTAGAAATCTCCAAAAGATCGGCGCAGTAGGCGGGGAATCAGGTGCTTTATCGCAGCCCGCCTCGTACATGTATGGAGCAGCCGGACAGGGGACATGCCGCTTGAGCAGGTGGATTCGATGGACAGGAATAGAAGCTGGAGACTGGACTCTACTCGTACTATCTCTCCGACCAAGGCATTCGCTATCCCAGATGCCTCATAGTAACATCTACAAGAGTAAGGTACTCGTAGGTCCAGTGACTGGCTTGCATCGAGACGCGAGCTACACCATCAAAACAACAATCTTTTATCCCAACCACATCCATCCATTCACTCAACAAGCTCAGCATAAACCGCCCTCTCCAGCTCCGCATATAGCCGACACGCAACCTCGTCTCCAAACGGAAAGACAGCCACCATCAACACCCCAGCAATCCCCGTCTGCGGATCAATCCACTGATATTACCAAACCGCACAAAAGCACATAGTCAGCTTCAGCTCACACACAATAATAACACCACAAAACAAGCTCAGCATCAAGATCAACAAGAAGGAAGCACAAAACTCACCCATCGCGAATTCCCCGCCCCGGCCCACGACAAACTCCCCCCCCTCCTCCTCCTCTTCCCCTCCAAGTCCGCCAACGCCAACAACCCCCCAAACCCATACTGCAACTCAAATCCATCCGGAATCTCCGGTATAAACGCCCCCCTCCTGTCCGGCGCGTACAGAAACGCCTCCATCAATGCCTTCTGCCGCTCATCCAGCTGCGGCTCAAACATCTCTCGCACCGTCTCCCCCGAGATGATGCCACCCGCCTGTTGTCCAGCTCCAGGGGCCTGCAACTGCAGCATCGCCCGCAGCATCCGCGCATAGTCGTGCGCCGTCGTGTGGATGCCCGCCCCGGCGCTGTCCAGCTCCGGCTCAACAGGCGCGGGTTCAAACGCCGACAGCGCGCCACCATCGCCATCGCGCCGCGTGACTTGGGCCCGTCGTCGGCCTGTCGTGTGAGGGAGCCGGCTGATGCGGAAGCCCGTGTCCGTCATGCCCAGCGGGTCGAGCAGATGCTGCTTCATGTACGCGCCCAGCGTCTGGCCCGTCACCGTCTCCAGGGCGATGCCGGCCCAGTCCAGGGCCGGGCCGTAGACCCAGCCGTCGCCGGGGCGGATCAGGAGCGGCGTGTTGAAGCCGTCCTTGCTGAGGCGGATGGTTTTGCCAACGGGCCTGCCGACGTACTTGCTCCATTTGCGCAGGTCTGGGTCTGAGACGTCGTACCGCAGACCGGCAGTGTGAAGCATCAGATGTCTGTCAAGGCAAAGGGCATCAGCAGCAGCAACAACAGAAACCTTCAGGTCCAAGCGGTACTATCTTATGATTGAGGTGTAGGTACTTGAGCGTAATGGGCCTCTCGTCATCCTCCAGTATAGGCTCCCCCTCGGGCGTGAATCCCCTCAGAATCTGCATATCGCGGACCTCGGGGACAATCTGCCGCACATCGTCGTCCAGCCGCATCTTGCCCTGCTCAATCAGCTGCATGAGACACGTTGCAGAGAGGAGCTTGGTCAAGGAAGCCCCGTAGGTGAGAGTATTGCCATTGAAGTCTGGCGAGTCTGCGGCAAAACGGACGCGGCCAGCCGATCCAGAATAAATGACGCCTATATGGTAATTAAGGCTGTGAGGAATCCCGAGTCGTGCTGATTCGGGTGGATGAAGAAACCCTGAAGCTCACCATTGGAATTCGTCACCAAAAACGCTGCTCCCAGCAGCTTGTCCTTGCACGCAACATCGTCTCTCTCCGCGACAGCTGCCCTCAGCAGAGCATCGAGCTTCTCCATGTCGAATCTTGCCAGTTCAGGGTTGTTGCGAGAGACGTGTTGCCTGGAGCGACCGGTGGCCGGCGGCGGCATGCACCCGACGCCTTTTGTATACCTAGGCCACTAATGGGTGTGTAACTGTCTAGGTTTTTCTTCGTAATATTGACATGTGTTTAAGCCTGACCGACGAGCATAAGCTTAATCTTGAGCCGAGACGTGAGCTGCAGAACGCCTTTCCGTCTCATTGGTGATGCGAAAGGCTTGGTCGATGCAACGATTAGCGGTCACGCAGGCACCTTTGTAGTGTCTACGACGATCTGCCTTCAATCTCTATCTGCAGCCTGAAAGCTTGTTTCGGGATCCAAACATGTAGTATCGGCCGCATGCAACATGATGATGAGAATCGACAGACAAATACGTATACAGCACTCTTTACACTTGATGAGATCGATTCCCTCGACAGCTCCGGTGTTGTAGCGCATCGGCCGTCATATCCCTGAGCGGGGTCCATACCTAGTATTTCTCCATCACGGCTCCATGTCTCACAGATCAAGATCGATATCCGTCTCCTTCATCTCCCACCCGACTCACCGTGAAACATCCGCAGTTCCGGCCCCGTCAAGCATCTCTCAATCGGCACATTCTCCCCGGCCCGTCCACCTCCGCTTCACTCGGCCATATTCTCAAACTCCCACCATGGCCACTCCCGCCGTCAGCCGGCCCTCATCCGGGCTGCTGGATCTCATCACCGTCTTTGACAAGTTAAGACCAGCCTCAAACCCTCAACCAACACCACGAGACAACTACTCATACTACATGTACTCACTTCTGCCCCCCCAGCCTCCCCCTCGACTTTGAGCAAAACTGCGACCCCTACTACCGCCTCCTGCTCGCCCCCGACACCCGCACCCACGGCTACATCCACCCAACCACCCTCGCCCGCATGCCATGGCCCTCGTCCTTCTCCATCACCCACCACCCCCGGCGCGAGGTCGTCCTCTCGCCTCCCCCCTCCTCGGGCACCTCCCTCTCCGCCCACGCAAACGCCGCCTTCCAGCAGGCCGTCGACGCCGCCATCGACGCCAACGCCTTCCCCCAGCTCAACGGCATGCACAGCGAGCCCTTCCTCGTCGTCGGCGCCCGCAACTTTGTCCAGATCGAGCGCTTCGCCGCCTCCCTCTTCGGCATCGGCACCCGCGGCGCCCACCTCACGGCCTACTCGTACGACAAGTCTGACGACGAGCTGCGCATCTGGGTCGCCCGCAGGAGCAAGGCGCTGTACACGTACCCGGGCATGCTGGACAGCACCGTCGCCGGCGGCGTCAAGGCCACCGACTCCCCGCTGGACTGCATCCTCGCCGAGTCCATGGAGGAAGCCTCCCTGCCGGCGACGCTCGTGGGCCCGCGCGTCCGCGCCACGGGCGTCATCACCATGGCGAACCAGAACCCACGCTCGGGGCTGGTCCACTCGGAGATTCTCTACACGTACGACCTGGAGCTGTCGGGCGAAGGGGAGGATGAGGAGGTGCCGCGGCTGGGAGACGACGGCGAGGTGGAGGAGTTTGTGCTGATGAGCTGCGAGGAGGTGCTGGAGAGGATGCGGGCGGGCGAGTTCAAGACGAATGTGTGCGCTGTCATGATTGACTTCTTGATTCGGCATGGGAGGATCACGCCGGAGACGGAGCCGGACTATGTTGAGATTTGCACGAGGTTGCGCAGGAGGCTGCCGGTTCCGACGAGGTCGGATAGCTGACGTGCTGGCTGATTCATACCTTGAGCTACGAAGACATGAAGAGGAGTCTTCTTTCTATAGAGCATAGGTAGAGTAGATATTTCTGAGATGAATGGCATCGAGTTGCAAGAGTCTCTCTCATCACTTCGAGTACTATAGGTAGCTTCCATCTTGCACGTCTAGACACACACATACACACAGATACATGTAATTCATGCATCAGTTGGTACCTATCAACTCAAGCGGTCATAACCCCATCGCTACACTCACCCTCATTATTACACATGCCAATAACATTCCCATACCATCACTGAATATATCAGGTACTCAACCCTCTCTACCCCCCTCCAAATCGTGCAACAGCCTCACCACAACACCCCAACCGTCCACACAGAGTACCGCCGCACCCCCTCCAGCCCCCCAACCCAGTACTCACCAAGTACACCCACCCCATCATCCCCCACACACCAAGCCCGCTTAGACACGCACACACAAGCACTCACACACACCTCACTCACACACACAAACAAGGCAGCACGGCACTCTCCCATCTCTAACCTCCAACCTCCCCCATCCACACAACTTCACCTTGACGTCCTCCTCCTCTCTCTCTCCCTCTCTCTTTCTCTCCACTCATGCCTCTCATGCCTCTTATACGTCCACAGTCAGGCGAATCCATCTTCTCTTCTTTCCAACATTTCACCACTGCAATCTTATTCTTTTTTTTCCTTGACACCACTATCGCAGCACAACAGATTCTCAACATCAAAGTCTTAAAGATGAAATGTCCTCCAGCTTCCATCATGACAACCAAAATCCCACACATGGAAATCCTCTTCAGCCAACAAGGGAAAAAATCCCAACGCCACCACGCCCACGCAAAAGATCTTCAACTTCCGCACCAAGCAAAGCAATCCACGAAGCAGCCAGACATCATCAGCATGGGTCAACAAGAATGGTCTCAATCGTCGTCATGTTATACAATGCATCCTACACTACATACATCTCGCGGCAGCCTCCTCCTCCAAACCCGCCCTCTCGTCATCCGTCTCCCTCAAGAGACAATCTCAGGCGTCGAGCAAAAATCAAGAAAAAGGGAATCGGCGCAAACAACTAGAATGCGAAAAAAAAAAAAAAAAGTTCAAAGGCTTCCGCAGACCCTGTCGTTACCGGCCCAAACTCCCCAACGCCTCTTTTATCCACCCTGTCCGTCCATGGCCCGCCCTCGGACGGTCCATCCGGCCTGCCTCCCCTACGCCAGGCTGCTCGCAGCGGAGCAGACGAGTCGCATTATTATCGGCCAAAAGTCCCGCCATCTCTCGCTCCTCTCGATTTCCCTCTAGCCAACTCTGCTTGGTGTAGACTTTGATGAGGGGGGAATACCCAAACGGGGTTCATGACCAGCGCGCAGCTCCATGTCGGCCGTCGCCAAGTCCAGATACTACACGCCACGGCAAAGTCCCAAGAGACTCGAGCAAAGTCGTCTCCCTGTTTCTTTACTCCTCCTCGGAATCCGAGTCATCGCTGGACTCGTCGTGGCGGTTGTGCGCCGGCGCATGCGAGGCGTCATCGGCAGGCTCTTGGCCGGGCTTGTACAGCTGTTGGATGGCTGTCAGCTGCGCGATGCGCGCCTCCTGCTCCTGCGCGCTCATGGGCTTGTTCTTCTTGGGCTTGGATGCCGATTTAGGGGCCTGCTTTGCGGGAACCGCCCTATTAACTTCCGGCGACTTGGTTGTGGCGTTTGAGTCTTTACCGAATCCCGGGAGCACTTTTTTGCAGAGGTCCCATAGCTTGTTGAGCGCATCGCTACTGAGCTGGTCAATATCCAGTTCGAGCTCGCCCTCGTTGTTTTCCTGGCGAGAATCAAATACGTTAGCAACATGACATGGACAGCAAGGGGGAAAAGGGGGGGGCACCAACATTCTGGCCAGTGTCACGCTTGATAATGTCAATGGCTCGATCGAGGTGAGGATACTCGAGATCATTAATGGCACTAGCAATCTGATCCTTGTCTGCCGCAGAAAGCGTCCTCTTGGGCGGCGGCTTCTTGGCGCTGCTCGACTTCTTGGGAGGCGGTGCGTGGGTCGACGACTTGCGCGAGGGGGCGCTGCCGGCCGCCTTGCTCTTGCTCGGCTTGCTCGACTTCTTGGCCGACTTGTCCTGGTGCTTGGGCTTGGCCTCGGTCTGCTTCTGCGCCACCTTGTACAGGGCCTGCTGCACCGTGTCGACAATGACGCGCTGGCAGTCAATCAGCGCCTGCGGGGTGCCCGACGCGAACATGCTGTTGAGCTTGCTGCTCTCCTCCTCCAGCTTGGCCTTGAGCTCCTGGAGCTCCTTGGAGTTGTCCACGGCGGGCGCCGCGGGCTCGTCGTCGTCGCTCTCGTCGTCGTCGTCCTCGTCACTGGCGTTGGACGCAGACGCGGCGGGCGCGTTGGCCTTTGCGTACTTTGCCAGCCAGGCATCCTTGCCCTTCATCTGCTGGACATAGAGGTTCTCCAGCTGCTTGGCCAGGTTGGACACGGGGTTGCCCTGGTCGGGCGGGCCGTTGAACTGGTAGCAGTTGGCAAAGATGAGGCGCACGTTCTTGTCAAACTCCTTGGCGTTTGTGATTTCGCCGCTGTTGACCATGCGCGATACCTTGCCCAGGTCCATGGGCTTCTTGATGATGGAGTAGTAGTCGGGGATGTTGAGGCCCTCGGCGTCGACGGCGTCGAGGAACCACGTGTTGAGCGTCGAGTTCTTGGGGTGCATGAGCTCCGCCAGCACCTCGTCGCAGAATTGCATTTCGGGCTTGAGTTTCTTGCGAGAAGGCTTAGTGGTATAATCGATATCCTTGGGCTTCGGTGCCCTTACCGTCCGTTTTGGCCTGTCGGCGTCGGCGAGGGAGCCTCGACGATCCACGCTGGGCTCTGCGGCCTGCGGCTTGGCTGGTTTGGCATCGGCAACCGGCGGCGGCGGCGGCGGCGGGCTGGATGCCGGGCCTGACGACTGTCGCCGCACGGCGTGCTCGGGGCCGGACAGGACGCGAGGCTCACGTGGCGGCTTCGGCTTGGCTACAGACTTGGGCCTGGCGGGCTCCTCTTCGGGGATCGCGATGGACTCCTGCCACACGTTTCGTACTGCGTAGAATGCGGCGTCCGTGACCTCGTGCTGGGCGCCGTTGAAGGTCAGGGTGTTCTCGTAGATGAGCCCCAGGTCCTTCTTCATGTCGCCAAACGTAGCGTAGATGGGGTGGGGGTCGCGCAGGCCTCGGTCTATCTCGGCCAAGTCCATGGGCTTGTCAATCCTCGCCAAGTAAGACTCTCCCAGCGCCGGCCACAGCTTGGGCACCGAGTCCCGGAAGTGGCCACCGTGCTTGGTCTTCTTGACCCTGCCAATGATCTTTCGGATCTCGCGGCGCTGGAACGGCGTAATCTTCTTCTCGAGAACCGATGCGTCTTTCCACTTTGCGATGGAAGCAAGGCGGTCCGCGCCACTGTCATTAGCAGAAGCTGAAGCATCAGTAGCAGCATTCTCATTCCCGGCCAAAGGGGTGGCCGTCGCAGCGCCGTCCTCTTCCTGGGTCTCAGTCTTGGCCCGCTTGGCGGCCGGTTCGTCTTGCATCTCCTCGTCGCGCTCCCTGGCAACCTTTGAGCCGGGCGCGTCAGACATGGACACTTCGATCGAGGTATCGGCAGCAGACGATGTGGCATCAATGGCCAGCTTTGACATGCTCGGAGATCCGAGATCGACTTCATTTGATGAAGGCGCCGTCGCCGCAGCCTCTTCAACCTTGGGCTTGGGCTTCGCAGCCTCTTCCTCGGGCTTGACGGCGGGCTTGTCGTCGGTCATGACGGTATCGGCGTCGGCATCGGCATCGACGTCAGTTTGAGTGTCCTTGGGGGAGGGTTTGGCCTCCTCAGTCTTCTCCTCAGACTTTTCTTCGGCCTTGGCCTCGGTAGATTCTTTGGGTGCAGACTCTTTGGCAGTCGTGGGCGTGGCGGCAGTGTCGGCGGAAGCTTTCGCGTCGTCTGCGCTCTCGGCGTCTGTCATCTCCACGTCGGGCTTTTCCTGCGCCGTCGTCTCAGCCTCTGCCTTCTTCTCCTCTGCTTTTTTCTCCGCTGCTGCTTCCTCAGCAGGCTTCTTCTCCTCGTCCTTGGCGCTTTCTACAGGCTTCTCCTGTGGCTTTTCCTGTACGCTCTCAGAATCGGCTGCTACGGGCGCGTCAGCGGCTGGGGTGTCCTTCTTCTCAACCTCTTGGGCTTTCTCCTTGTCGTTCTCCTGGGCCTTTTCCTTGTCTTGCTCCTTGTCTTGCTCCTTGTCTTTGTCGCCCTGTCCGTTCGTAGTGCTCACGCCGTTGGGAGTGTCGGCGGATGCAGCCGGCGACGGCTTGCCGTTGACAAGGGCCTCATCGGCCTTGTCAGACGGGGCTTTGTTTTCCTTTTCGGCGTCGGGTTTGGCGCTCTCGGCTGACTCTGAGACAGCTGGCGCATGGCTAGAGGCGCGCAAAGAAACATCTGTGGTTAGCAATACAGACGCTTCTAATGCAGAGGGAGACGCGAGCAGCAAGCGATGAGGAGCGCAACGTGGCAAACACTCACCCGTTGGCCTCGGCCATCTTGTCCTTGTCAGCCACAGGCGGCTGGTCCGCAGTCGGCGAAGCCATCTCTGGGATAGTCAAGGACTTTGCGAGAAAGGTGCGCGCTAGAGACAGGTGGTGATCCGCAGTGATGATTCTAGCAAAGGAGGCGCGACATCAAACGCAGCAAGGGCGAGGGCCCGCGAAGTCAAGCGATCCGGTGGGCGTCGAGGGGAAGCGCAAGGCTGGAGGGTTGCGATGCGACAGGCGGCGGGAGCTGCGGATACGAGATCGCGAAGCGGAGCGCTGAGGGAGGAAAGAAAGAAGAGAGAAGAGATGGTGGGAGATGAAGGAATAAAGAAAAAGAGCTGCTGAAGCGTCGCGCAGTCGAGGCAGCAAAAAGCAATCGATCGGTGAGCGGAAGCTGAGGTGCACTGGCGGCGCGCGACAATGGGAAGCTTCAGTGCACGGCCGGCGACTTCCTGCAGGTGACGGGATTGTGACGAAAAGGTGAGAGGCTGAAGCGCAATTCCGTGCAGCCTTGCGACGGACTCGATGCGACCGGACACACGAGGCTCGAGACTCGACGGCGATGCGATGCGATGCGATTGTGATTGCGATTGCGATGCGCGGCGGTTGACCAGGGCAGGATGCGGCTAGTGACGAAACCGGGCGGAATGGCTGTCGTCACGATGCAAGGAAGAGCTTCCCGCCAAAATAAAACAACAGGAATATTTTTGGAGAAGAGAGAATGCGAATGCGCGATGGTTGGTCGGAATAGTCAACAAAGTACCAGCCGGCGGGTAAAGGTCGGCTGAGGGCGGATGCGCGGGCTGTGGTTGGCTGGCGGTGCCTTATATTTTTTTAGGTATTCTCCAAAGGGGAATATTTTCTGGGAATTTATTTCCCTTGGAGCCTTTTCTCTTGCCTTGTTGCGGCCGTTTTTGGCAATTCGTTCGCTAGTCCGGTTGGGCCTTGCCTCTGGCGGCGGGTTTGCTTCGGAAGCCGGACAAAAGATAAGGGACGGAGGGGAGGGGGAGGGGAGGCCCTTTTTTTGCGAGGAAAAGCGCGTGCACGTCAGTGAGATTTCGCCGGCTGGAGGCGCGGTGGTATTTATGAGTGACGACGGGCGGCGGCGCGACGGGCGCGATGTGAGGTTAGGCGGGTTATGCCGCAGCCGGGGTTGCCGCTCTAAAGGGAGCTGTGGCTGGTGGCTGGAGCCGGCGGGGGCGCTGATTGGCCGGCGCCGGGCTGATGCGCCACCCGGGCTTGCTGTTCTTTTGCTAGGGCCACAATGCGGTGTCACGGACAGCAGGGTAAAGAAAAAAAATTGCAGGCGAGACGGGAAGACAGACGAGAGGGAGGCTGGAGGCGTTGCCGTCCGTTTGTTATGGTGAGGCTGCTAGGTAGTGCCTGTGCAAGTATCGTAGGTACGTATAGTATGTACATACGAGTATGACCATGGCGAGCGGGACGGGGGACGAGGCTGGGGCTTGATGGTGGTGGTGGTGGTGATGCTGCTGGTGCTACTACTAGTAATAGTATTATCATGCTGATTGATGCATGCATCGCACTGACCGCGATTTTGCCCATCCTCCCATCCCCTTGCCGTAGCCTCTGGTGAGGTGGCTGGGCAGCGTCCAAGTTTCGGTCAGTGGGATGGGCATGTTGGGTTCCGTGGCGGATGCCTGCATGCTGTTGGGATACAGAGGGGGGAAAGCTTGGGAATGGGGTTAGGCTCAGCTTGGGGCATCGTGGCCTGGATGCTGGGTCTGGGTCCGTAGAACGCGGATCACCTGGAGCATCAGTCTGGAGGTTTTACAGTGTCGTGGGGATGGACAGAGATGTTCAAGGAGGTTGGTGGGTTGCTTTGACGTGATGCATCTGCTTTGTGCTTTCTTGTTGGAAAAGGGCCAGATGCAGTACAAGCGCAGCAATGCCGTGTGAGAATGCAATGCGCTGCTCACGCCAGCCCAAAGTGACCAGAAACGCGTATGTCACCAACACAAACAAGTCCGAAGCATCAGCGAAGAAATATGTAGAGTCAGGGAAAAGGGCATGTGCTTGCACGAATTGACTGTGCCGCTTGAGATTATGCTTGTCTGTATGTGTGATAACAATAGTCCGTACGGTCACGACGGATAGAGGTGGATGGTGATGATGATGATGGATGGATGGATGGATGGATGGATGGTTGCCTCTGCCAAGTTGATGACATTGCGATCCACGCGTCGCCGATAACAAAGCAAACCAATGCACCAGAACTGACGCGCCAGAAAATAATTTTCGCGGGGCGCATGCTGCAATTGGGGGGGCTTTGGTCGTGCTATTATGCGATTAACCGCACTTTTCCACAGCGAGAGCTCAACGCCAGAAGTGGGAACAAGCACAAGGATGGGGTGACCCTGTGGCGCAGTTGGCAATGGCTGTGGCGCCACCACGAGCCCGGAGGCTAAGGAACTTGCGAGCTGCACGTTTTCAGAGCAAACGGGGGCTTGTGAAGTGAAGCCTCGACGAAAAGGTACCCCGGCGCTGGGTAGCCAATGGGCAGCTGAGGGCGGGCCATTTGCGGCGATTGGTCTGGTTGACTCAGCAATCGCGCTAAGACCGTCGTCAGCACTGGTAAGACAGGCTGAATTGGCTGATCATCCAAACTGCTCGGAGCTCAGTGCCGAGTTGCTCCGAAGCACGTGAGCGAACAGAGGTGCTTGCAGACTAACAGATCACGTGGTCTGCTGCAGACGACGCACAATCGTGCTTATGTCATCTCTTATCGTTATCGCTGAGCGATTGCAAGTTGTGGAGCCTCTATCAGCGACTCGGCCAGTCAAAAAAAAAAAAAAAAAAAAGTTCAACAGGCAGATTGTCAACAGTGAAGCTCGTGAAATTTTCCATCTTCTCGGTGACAAAAAAAAAAAGTGAAGAAGATTTGACGACATTTGGCATTCTGCACCAGACGCCTTATTCTTCATCCGTCTTTCATTCTGATTGCCGCACACAAACGAATCACACAAAAGCGAACAAAGGCAGAAGCAACGTCCTCGACCCCCCCGAGGAAGTTGCCTTCCCACTCCCACCACGATTAACGTCTTCAACTTCCTCTCCTCCGTCCTCTCCCCTCTTCCATCCCCAATGTCGACCCCCAAGAGAAGAACCCCGGCCAAGCTGGCCACGCCGGTCGTCAAGCCGGATGCGAGGAGGGCAGCCCGGAGCACAATCGATGAGTCCAGAACAACCGTCTCCAACACCGATGCTCTGCGCAGCTCGCAGGCCGAGACGATAGAGATCTCGTCCGACCCGGACAGCGACGAGGACATGTCCGACGTCGAGGACGTGAATGGCGCGGCCGACGAGGCTGAGCAGAACCCTGAGCAGAAGCCCGTGGCCAATGGCCAGCAGAAGCCGTCCACCAAGGCCGCCGCCGACGCAGACGACGACGACGAGGAGGAGACGTCGCCCTCGTTTGGCGAGCTGCTGCGCGGCAGCGAGGCCATCGACGTCGCCGCCATTCTGCAGCAGTCGTCGACAGACAGCAACGCCGCCGCCCAGGCGTCGCGCAGCGCCATTGCGCCTCCCTCGCACCAGTCCCTCACCACCGTCCTCACCCAAGCCCTCAAGACCGACGACACAGACCTGCTCGAGTCCTGCCTGCACACGACCGACATCCACACCATCCGCAACACAATCGAGCGCATCGACAGCTCCCTGGCCGGCATCCTGCTCAACAAGGTCGCCGCCCGCCTGCACCGACGGCCCGGCCGCGCCGGCACCCTCATGACCTGGGTGCAGTGGACGCTGGTGGCCCACGGCGGCGCGCTGGCCGCCCAGCCCAAGCTGCTGCACGACCTCAACAGCCTGCAAAAGGTGCTCGCCGAGAGGGCAAAGGGGCTCAACAGCCTGCTCGCCCTCAAGGGCAAGCTCGACCTTCTCGAGGGCCAGATGGAGCTCCGCCGTAGGATGCAGAGGAGCGCCGGCCTGCTCGGCGAGGGCGACGACGACGACGCCGACGACGAGGACGTCATCTACGTCGAGGGCGAGGAGCGCGACGCCGAGCAGAAGAACCTTGCCAACGGAGTGCGCTCGCGGAGGCGCGGCGAGGCCGGCGCCGACGCCGATGACGATGAGGACGACGACGACCGCGTGCTCAACGGCTTCATTGGCGACTCGGAGGACGAGGAGGAGGGCTCCGAGCAGGACGAAGAGGAGAGCGATGCGGAGGATGACCAGCTGGACGAGGACGAGGTCGACTTTGACGACGTGGACGAGTCAATGGGCGAGGACGAGGAGAGCGATGTCGAGGTTGCGCCGCCGACCAAGATGCAGAAGGTGTCCAAGACATCTGCAAAGAAGAAGTGAGGCTGGACATGAAGACGAATAGTGAGAGAAGAGAGGTTGAGTGGACATTGTATGTGTTGTGTATGTATGAATGAGGTACAAAAAAGTTTTTGCGCGAGGCACAACAAGAAGACGCGAGGAAGATACGGGGGGGCATAGCATTTCCGGCATTCCGAGGTCCCTCGTTCTCAGGGCGTTTGGTATCTTAGTTTCATGTTTTTTTTTTTTTCTTGTTCAGAGTTTCATGTAGAAGTGGATATTACAACTTTGTTTCCATCCATTTCTTCCTTCTCTGGTCTTGATGCGGAATTGGCCTGTTTGTCCGTCATACTGTGAGAGAGAACCACATTGAAATCTGTCTGTTAAAAGGCAAAGTGGGAGGTTGGAAAATCAGGAAACGTCAATTTTATAAAGGATCTCTCATGACCTGTGTATGAATATTGATGGCCGTAAAGCTGCACCATTGGAGAACGAAAGTGAAGCAGAGATGGTGTTTCAAAATCTTTCCAACTCCTACGTTTACCACTATGCATACACAGAGACAACTCGTAATCACCTCAAAGACAACATATCAACCTCTCACTGATATACAGTGTTTATACGATATTAAAAAATACCCTGCTTGATAAGGTAGGTATGCTAAAGGCCAAAGGAAAGGCTCACAAGTCACAGGCAAACCATCACACAAGTCTCAAAAAGGAAACAAAGAGGCCATCCAAAAGCTCTATCATAGCTCTCAACTCGTCGCATTCAATTCGCTCGCTCGCTCGCTCGCTTGCCCAACTTTCGCCATGTATAACTAATAAAGGAAACAAAATATCAAGAATAATGGAAATACCAAAAGCACAAAGAAAAAAAAAAGTCAACAAAAGGCGAGGGAAGGGAGAAAAACAAGGAAACCCCGATATCCTTCTCTTCCTTTTGAGGGGGGGGGGACAAGCGCTTTTTTGGTTTGTTTCGCAAAACGTGAGGGAAAAGAAAAAAGAAAACACATGCCTAGTTGACGCCAATTCGACCCATATCGCCATGCATTGGGAAACAACAGAAAGGATAACAATAATGAATGTAGACGTAGCGAGCCAAGGCCATATTCCCGACAAACAAAAGCAATGATGACGAGGCGGAAACAGAAAAGGCTGAAAAGGGCAGTGTGTCTATGGCCGTAAAAACGTGGGAAATGAGCCATTAAAATCGTATAGTGCGGATGTGAGCCTGGTTGCAGAACAGGCGGCTGCTGTCTCGTGCAGTGTAATAATGTGTCAAAAACAAACAAACAAACACCAAGGGTTCATAATATTTTGCTCGCTCGTCTTGAATAATGGAAATCTCGCAGAAGCATCTCAAATCGAAAGCAGTGCGTAAAAGATAGGTGTTGGCAGTGTGAGAGATGATAATGAAAGGGGAAATGTTGCGGCATTTGGAGCCACGACGACAGCGCAGGGGGGGGAAATGGTCGACGACAAGGACAACGCAGGCTCAGATGGCCCAGCTGCCTCTCCTCTCGCGCACGCCCCAGGCCAACGGGTCGAGATTGTCCAGATCAGGGTGCTGCCTCGCCCACTCGGTAATGTAGGCTCGCAGCGCCGCCCATCGCGGACACCTCTCCTCCTCGGGCGCGTGCACGTCGAGCTTCATCTCGACCATGTGGCCCTTGGCCATCTGCTTCTCGTCGTCCCTGCGCAGCTCGTCGATGCCAATGTGGCTGATGCGCGACAGCTCCTCGTCGAAGCCGCGCGCCATGGCCGGGTAGCCCAGCGACAGGTAGTTGTACACCTGGGTGACAAAATCCTCGCCAAACTCTTGCAGGATCTTCTCGTCGCGCTCGGCCTGGGCCTTTTCCCGCTGCAGCCGCTCGCCGAGGCCGTTGAGGTCGCTGCTGCCCATGTCGACGTCGGCGCCCTTGTGCTTCTCGGCACCATCCTGGTGCTGATGGTGCTGGTGCTGGTGATGCGGCTGCGGCTGGTGAGACGAAGAGCCCCAGAGCCCGCCGGTGCTCGTCGTCAGGCCCGACGACGCAGAGTCGGACGAGGAAAAGATGGACGCGGGCTCCTCGCTGATGACGCTGGAGTCGACGGCGTCACACGAGCAGTGCTTGTCCGGGAAGCTGGGGTCGGTGGGCGTCTGGATCAGCTTGGGGTTGTGCAGGTCCGGGGGCACGATGCATCCTCCGGTTGATTCCGACCTGCAGCAGTACCCCCTCCAGAGCCCGGCCTGACCCGGCACGTCGCGCCCGCGGTCCTCAATCATGTGTGCTTCAAAGGGGTCCTCGGGCTCGAGCGTGGTGAACTTGGGCGACGGGCACCGCCGAAAGACGAGGTCCTTACCCAGCATGGGGGGAGACGGGCCCTGGCGCAACTTAAGCAGCTTGGGGTCGGCATCAGGCACATGGCGGAAGCCTCCAAACGGCCTGCCAAAGGGCCCAGGTTCCTGGCGGCCGGGAGGGTGGGGCTCAGCCGGCTGGGCTGAGGGATCCGTCTGGGCAGAGGGAGCGACGAGCTTGGCTTGTGCCTGGGCTGCGGCGCGATTGGCCTCTGCCAGCGCCAGCTGCAGCTCAGCGACCGAGGACCGGCGAGAATCGGTAGCCAGCATGGGCTTGGTCGTGGTCCACAGCAGATCGGGAGGGGACGGCAGCTCCATCTTGTCCAGATCAGAGTCGGATCGGATAAGAGGGCTGTCGGCAGCGGCACCGGGACCGGGACCGGCAATGGCCAGCGGGGAGGCAGCGGACGCGGCAGAGGCAGCACCACCACCAGCGGCAGAGGCAGCGACGGCAGCAGCAGCAGCAGCAGCAGCATCGAGATCCTCCTCCATCACCACTGCCTCCTCGTTGTCCACGTCCATGCCGTCCCCTCGGTCCTGCTCCAGACGCGCCGCATGCTCCTGCATGTGCTTATGCCACCAGTTCAGCCCCAGGTTGGACGACTTGCGCCGGAACCGGTACTGGCCGGCCTCTTCGTCCCGGGGGCTAGCCGCGGGCGAGCTGCCGCTGTCAGACGAGCTCTCGCGGAAGTAGAAGTGAGCCACACCACCCTCGCGGGGGCGGCTGTTGGGGAACGCGGCGAGGGCAACCTCTTCGATCTGCCGTGCGACTTGTTTAGCCGCCAGGTCCAAGAGGTACTCCTGGACGCCCTCCTCCTCCGTCTCGCGCCGTGTGGGCGGGAATGGGCGTGCCACACTGCGCTGCGGCTCGTCGTCGCCGGCCGGCCCCAGCTGCCGACGAGTCGCCTTTGGCTTGGCCGAGTAGATGTGGTTTGTGTAGGGGGTAATGTCGGTCTTGTCCGTGGGTCGAGTGGCCGGCCCGGGGTCGCCCACTCTCCTGACCCGTCTGGACGTCTCGATGAGCTGGGGGGCAAAGCGGCGCCTCTCTTGCGACGTCTCGCGGTTGTGCATCTCAGGCGGGAATTGCGCCTCAGGAGATCGAGGCGAGGGCTCCGGGGTCAGCTCAGGATTGGGCCCTATCCTCTGGTGCGACGTATAATCGTAGACATTCTTGCGGTAGGATTGGAACGTCGTCTCGATCGGAACGGGCACGAAGCGCCGTCGTGGCGGCTCCGTATCTGCCATGGCTGTTGTGTTGTAGGTGTAGTGCTTCGTGTATGGTGCTTGAGAAATGCGGGTGGCAATTCTCTACCCGCAGGGAGTAGGAGGTAATTGGAAGTGAAGAAGTGTGAGAGAGAATAACGGCTCAACGGGTATCTCAAGGTGATGTCGCCTGCGTCCCAGGGCTTGAGGGTTGGGAAATCCGGCTGTGGGAGCCTTGCTGGAAGGTCCTGAAGGGTGAAGGGACAAGCCGGTGGGAGCAGGACAACATGCGGCTGCAGGACGACGATGGTATCGGTCGAGGCGGTAAGGTATAGATAGATAGATAGCTGGGCACACGAGGTGGCGCGAGTGTGTCGTCTCGGTGCCTCGTATGCGGTATGTGATATGCGGGATGGGGTGTCGCCGTATGTACGAGCAACGCACAAGGCAAGGCGGGCACGCACCCGTATGGGCTTCTGGGCTGGTGCCGGCGGGGCTGGACGGTGCAGCTATCGCGCTCGTCTGCTGCGAGTCGCCTCCCTCTCAGTCTCTCGGCTTGTGGGCTTATGTATGGCTGGTGGATGGTGGATGGTGGACGGGGTTGGACGACGGTTCGGATTCTAGACGGCTGGATTGGGCAGGGATTGGACGACGGCGGACGGCGGATGCAGATGCAGATGCAGCGAGCCGCGCCCCAGGGCTTTTTGCGTGCTGGAGGATCCCCCGAGCAGTTCGGTCGGGCTGTCTGTTCCTTGCTTTGGGTCCTGGCTGGCTGGATGATGCCGGGTTCTGGACAACCTAGTGAGCGAGCAAGCAGCAGCAGCAGCAGCAGCAGCAGCTTGATGAGGGCGAGCAGGTCGCAGTCGCAGTTGAGCGCAGAGGCGATGCGGGAATGGCGGAAGCGCTCAAGGTGGTGCTGATGGATGCTTGTAGCCGGAGATGCTGGTGCTGGTGCTGAGCTGGTGCTGCCGGCACCGCAGCGCACTCAGTCCGTCAGTCAGTCCCGTCGTTTTCTCACGATAAGTCAATCAGCGTTGGCGATGACTGGCCTGGCCGGACCCTTGCGTGGCCAAAGTGCCCGCACAGTACCCCGTTGGCTGATGCCGGCTGCTCCGCACGGTCTCAGGTGACGGCCAGCACTTCTAGGGGGGGCGGGTGCCCTCTGGGGGCGTTTCTGTAGGGGACCATTAGGGGCACGAGGGGACCCGGGGGGTTAGCATCGGCAGTTTAGGGCCCCTGAGGTGCTGGAGCTGCCCGCTATTCGAGCCCAGCTCTAGGTATCCATTCCCGGCCATCACCAGTGACAGGTACTTGCATGTGCAGCGGGCAGCAATTAATATCGCAGCACCCACAGTCGCAATCAAGAAACCCAGTGTCGCAATCCCAATCGCAATGCTCTTTGTCACAGAAACCCAAGGTGACAAACTTTATTAGAGCAACTGCAGCGAGAAAACTCTGAATGCACACGTGCTGCATGCCACTCAGCAACGCCCCCCGTAGCAGCCGGACGTCTCTGGCAACTCGCAAGGGATGTGCATGCCGGACATGCCCACAGTTCGCCGACAGGGCCTCGGCACGGTGCCTGTACCTGGACCTGGACCTGGACCTGGACCCTTCTGATCAGCAAGCAGCAAAGCAAGCAAGAAGAGCGAAAATCTGCCCCAAAAATTGCCCCTCTCTCTCCTCCTCCTCCTCCTCTCTCCTCTCTTCGCCCTCACCGGCTCGAACCCACGATGCACGTTGCCGACCAATCGTCGTCCTCGTCGGCCTGCAGCTGCTGGTCATGAGAGTCGGCTCCGATTGGATTCATCCAGCCATTCAATTCACATTCACTCGCCTCGCATCCCCCGCATGAGGTGGCTACCGGCGGGTTACCACGTTTTTTTCTTTTCTCTTTTTTTTCCTGCTCCTTTTCTCTTGATCTTCCTGTTTGGGATGCCTTGTTCATGTCGTTAGGTAATGCCGGACGTGTGCTGACATGGCCGTTGATGTTTCTCGGCATCATGGACTGTCTTGGTTGGAATGGCTGTAATTCCGCTGTCATTGACTCCCGTCCCTAGGTACGTGTAAACACGATACGAACATAAGCATCAGCTGAGGCTCAGAACTCACGATAACACGTCGATATTAACGCCGCATCCGGCATATCTGAGCAAGAATCCTGCACTTGCGCTGCCAATGCACCCAGGATGCGTGCTTCGTACTCGTCATCCATCCTCGTCGCATCCTCGTCTGCATCCTCGTCGTCTTGGGCTTCCAGAACGCTTCGAAATCTCGCCAACCCCCCCTTGTGCGGGCTCCGTCTCCAAGCGCTAGGGCTCACGGATACTTTCCGACTTCCTGGTGCTGCACCGTGGGCGTGCCTCTTCCGAACCTGGGCTCCTTTTTGGATGCAACTTCACCGACATTCTTTCTTTTCTTTTCTTTGTTGCTTCCTTTTTGCCGGAAAACCTCTTTGCCGACGGCAATTACGTGAAGCAAACACTCTTGTCCCATTTTCTGATACCGTATAATACGACCTTGGTGTCTTGCGAAGTTGGTACTTCGCACATTGTACTCACGATGTCAAAGTTGAGGCCTCGAAACGCCTCGGCTAGTGCCAGCGACGTTATTTGCGGCCGATGACGGACAAGCGATTTAGCCATTTCATGACCTACTACTGTACCCCTCATGACACTACCGGAACCCATCTTGATCGTCACGAAAACTCGAACTGCTAGAGAAGTTTAGCACCGCTCTAGAGATTCATGGCGGCCCATGACAAGGACGGTTGGACGACAATAGCGGTACCTGACAAGCCTTGACTGTTGGATCCAGGGGAAAACCCGTTAAAAGCTGCGCCACGAATGGGGCTGGAGGAGGATCTAAGATTGCCACAATCTCGTAGTAACGGAGCCGCGAAGATGAGGTGCTCCGTACAGTAAGTTTCTTTTCTGATTCACTCGAGGAGCGGCTTTTTATAGATGCTGGAGCAGATCCGAGGTGATCGTTGAGCTATTTTGAGTCTTGCACGGCAAGATTGGCCGCTGGAGTCAAGATTTTTGCGCCAGATTTACAGGGTCTTGTCGTTTGTCGATGGGAAAACAATGACTCCCAATGGTTCAAGGCAGATGGAGATTGGAGACGAGAACGGCGGTGCGACTCCATAACGGCGTGTTAGGCCATGACATGATCTATTGAAGCGATTCATGGATCTCTTGTTCGTCTTTATACGGATGTCTATGTTTCACCTGAATCCTTTTCAATGACATTGCACCGTAGTGTAGTACTGTATGTGCCGTTCTTGTCTCGAGTCAGCCACGGACTCAAAGGAGACGTTTTCGCCCTCCTTTTTCCTGAGCTGGGGATGTCGTTGGACAAGGACACGTGCGTGACAGATACATCCATAGCACGAGGCACGATGCCAGCTGCAGCTGTTTCTCATCACCGCTCAGCTCGGTTCAGCTTTACCTGTCTTGCCTACCTACCCACCTAGGGTCAGGTAGATACCCAGACCAACAACCCAGCCGAGATGCTAGCGAGCAAGGTTCATGACAGCTGTTCGGCAGCCATCACCCGCTCTACCTGAATCCATAGTAGTGATACAGCGCGCCCTCGTCACGCTCGCTCTACCGTATATCGCCCGCCTTTCGACGTCAAGCACCATGTTTTCTCCGCAAAAAAAAGCAGGCTTTATACTAACACTAGGTAGTATCAGCAGCATTAGTGGCTGTGGTGTGTCTTGTTGGAGTCTGGTTCGACACACCGCCTTTGAGGGCGAGAGTCACGAGGGGAGGGGGGGAGGCATGGCGAGTGCTCTTGGCGCTTGGGGTAAATGCAGGCACGGCGTGCTGAATCCACAATGAGATGCACAGAGAGAGCGATCGATGCCAGGTGGATTGGTGGTTGCTGGAGGCGGAGGCATCATGGCTTTCTGTGTGCGCATGATGTTTGGCTTACCCTGTAGTTAGAGAATGAGATTGAGTTGGCGATCTTGGCAACGATCGGCCTGGGTGAGTAGATCAAATGGGGTGTCTTAGATGAGCTCGACCTCTCTCGATGGTGATCTATTGTGCACTGGCAAGAAAAGTCGTGTTGTTGTGTCTAAGTGAGGTTGCAATGTCTCCCCAGCATGGCAGTAACCATCCTACCCACGTACACCAAGCATCATCCCAAAGCTGTGTCATCCCATTGCTCAACCCCTCGAAGCCACGACGCCACAAATCCGCACGCAGCAAATCCATATGGCCAACAAACCGAGACAATTACGATCAAAGGTGGCCCAGATGCGACGTGGCGCAGGAATTCTGGCAGATGAGCTGGCGCCGGGAGGGATGCTGTTTGCGGCATCAAAACCAGAACAAGATGCTCCATCCTACATAGGTAGGTATGGAGTGACAATGCACTTCGATTGATCACCTGGCTACAAAGTCATCCAATTGGATTGGGCACAACAAAGCAGCTCTAGGTAAGCTTTCCTTGCAGATTAGATACTACTACATGAGCATGGCTTATTAGAGACGGGACTGGTTGCCTCTGGTTTGGCTCCGGCAGGAAAGCTCAGGGTGATTGACAGATACGCGCGATCGAGGGGCATGTCTTAACCAGAGACAAAAGAGACAACAGAAACAAGCCAGAGAAAAACGAATCTGTATCTTGTGATATGTATTTTGTGATAGACCTTAAGTCACACACATCAGCAGGTCACCATCCCTTCTCTTTCTTTCTATCAGGATTTGGCTGACCTTGTTCTCTCCCTCCTCTTCACGAGTATCGTATGTATTCCTGCTCAGCATCAGATCCAATTTCTTTTGTTCGCAGCATTATCGGCCAAAGGAATAGAGCAGCTCAGTCCAGCCAATCGGGCTGCTGCCCCCCCCCGCGCGCGCGCACGAGAGCTTTTCGCCCCTGCCGCGTGCGTCTGGCAAGGGGGGAGAAAAGAAGGAAAAGTTGGCAGTGGGCTGCAGGGGAGGCCCCTGTTCCGTCCCGCACAGCGCTCCTCTCACAGAAAAGTGAGTTGGGTCGGTACGGCCAGGCTGTTACGGAGCTGTGCCTGAGCGTCTGCGCTGAGGTTATCGCAGGGACAGTAGCTTCGTTGTACTCGTATGAATCCCCATCGTATCCCGAGGATGTGGGCTGGCGGCGTCTGGAATGGTGGTGGACACGCTAAGGCGCTGATGCCAAGCCTTTAAGGGAGCGCCTGAACACGCATAGATAAATCCTAAACATGCATAAATAACTAAACTGCATCTATCCTAGGTCACTTTCCTATATAATCTAGCAGTACTAATATCTGCAATTATAACTTTACTGTTTTATAAAAGTAGCTTTAATTATAAAAGGGTTATATTATATATTATAAAAGAAGGCAGAAAATGCATTTTTAAAGGGTTTAATCTAGTTAATTAATTAAAGCTATTTATAATAATAGCTGCAGCAGCTACTAACCTTAATAATTAAATAAATATATTAAAGGCTATAGCTATGCCTTAAATATAAATAAAGGTACTTAGCTAGCTAAATTATATATAAAGTAACTTTTATAATACCTAAATAATTAAGGTAATATAAGTTAAGTTTAATAGCTTCTTAGCGCTTATGCTAATAGTAGCACTGCTTATAGCATTTTATAATATAAATATAATAGTATTAGTAAAGGCAGCTATATTAAATAAAGTAGTGCTAATAAAAATACTACTAGTAAAAGCATAAAGCTTAAAAAAGCTATAGGTTATACTAGTTATAAGGATAATTAAAAAGAAGATATTATAATATTTTTAAATAGTAAATTCTACTATATTTAAATGCATTTTTTATTACTTTATATCTTATACTTAATTTTTAAGTAAAGGCATTTAACTAGCTATTTTTTTACTTTCTTTTTTAATATAAAAGGCATACTCTTTAATAGTATAGTACTTTTAATAACCTCCTAACTTAATTAAATTTAGCCTAATTTTACTAGTAAAGGCTTAAGGTTATTATATACCTTTTAATATATAAGTATAATAGCTAGATTAGGCTTAAGTATTATAATAATAATAATATATTACTTAAACTAATACTAAAATTAGTTTTATAATATTTATTTTTTAATATTATACTTACTAATATGCCTTAAAGATATTAATAATAATTAAGATTATTTAGCTAAAGGGATTAGCTACTTTATAATAGCTATAGAATTTAATAGCAGTAAGGAAGCCCTTACTATTTAAAGAAATTCTTTATATATAAGTAGTAAAGCTATATCTTTCCTTAAAAATTATCTTTTACTAATAGTAATTACTTTTTAATCTACTATATTAGCTTTTAGCCTATTTTATATATTATATTATTAAAAATTAGTTTATTAAGCTATTATATTTAGCAGGTTATAATTTCCTTTACTAGTTAAATATAATAGGCCTTTTACTACTGCTTAAAGAGGTCCTAAATATAAGTATAAAGCTTAAAAAGATTAATAAATTAATTCTTAAAATATACCTTTAATTATATATATAAGCTTTTTATATAAAAAGTTACTATAAGGCTATAATACTATAAGTTCTTAATAGTAAATTAAGTAAATTATTTTTACTTTAAAATATAAGTTTAATAAAGATAAGATATAATAACTAGTAATATAATTATTAATATAAATACTATAAAAAATAATATACTTATAACTTACTATTTTAATTAAGAAACTGCTTTTTAAGCTAATTTTAAAAATTTATAAATTTATTAAGATTATAGTATATAGTCTTTATAAAAAGGCATAGTTTTTAAAAGGAGTTTAATATAAAGTTAAATTAAATATATATAAGGTTATAATAACCTTAATATAAAGTGCTTATAACTTTATAATATTATTATAGCTATAAAAAAGTAAACTATCCTTTTATTTTAAAAAGGTTTAAAAATAAATATAATTACTTATAAATACCTATTTTTAAAAGTAATTATATAATTAACTTTTAAACTATTTAGTAATAATTAATAATTATATATTAACTTTTTATAACTTTAGTTATCCTCTCTCTTTTTTTACTTTTTTATATTATATACTAGCTTTAATAAGTTTATCTTTACTAAAGGATAAGAAACTATTAAAAAAAAGGATAGTAAATATATAAAATAATAATTATAATAAGTTATAGACTTTATAATCTTATAGTAATAACCTTTTAATAGTAAATAAGGAAGGGATAAGCTTTTAATAAAGTAAGTAAAACTTAATAATAAGGGCAGTAATATAAAATTAAGCTTTATTAAAAATAGCATAAAGTTTATTTATAAATACTATAACTTAAGGAATATATATAGTTTTATTAAACCTTATACTTTTAAGAATATTTATAAAAAAGTTATAAAGCTAAGTAAAAGAATTAAAAAAAGTATAAAAAAAGTAATAACTTATTAAATTTATAAAGAAATTAATATAAAGAGAAGATTTAAAATTAAATATATTTATATTAAAAGAAGATAATAAAAAATAACTTATAAAAAAGTAAGTAAATACTACTGCCTTTATAAAAATTACCTTAATATAACTTACCTTTTTAAATAAAAGCTAAGTTAAATACTAAATATACTTTTAGGCCTTAGATAATTAGTTTAGTATAATATTATTAATATTAAAAAAGAATAAAATATAACTTATAGTATTATACTTTTATAATAAGCTAGTAATAAAATAAATAGATTTTTATATACTTAAATATAATAATTATAATAAAATTCCTTAAAAAAGATATTTTAAATATTATATAAGCTATTTATTAAATAAAAAGATATAAGTAATAAAAGCAGCCTTTAAACTTACTAACTTATAATAGTATAATAATAAAAAGTTTATAATATTTTTTTATTATTATAAAGTTATTATAGTAAAAGTAGCTACTTTTATACTAGACCTTTTTTAAATACCTTTTTTCTTTAAAAAATGCTTATTAAAAATCTAGATAAGTATTTTTAATTAAGGTATTTTTAAGTTATAGGCTAATATTTATAATACAGGCATTTAGGCAGAATACTTAATATAAAAAGAATAAAATATAATATTATAAAAATAATAATAAAAGAACTAATAGCTTAATTATTAAGGAACTAGTAATAACTTTTATAAAAAACTATATATTAAGTAGGAGGATACTTTAATAGTATTAAAATAATATTATAATAGTATTACTATACTAGATAATATAAACTTAAACACTTTAAAGGTTTTAAAAACTACCTTATTATATTAAAAGTATAAGGGATATTACTTATAAAGGATATATTATATTAAAGACTATATAATATATAGTAATTATAGCTATATTATAAAATATTATAGTAATTTAATAAACTAGTAAAAAAAACTAGCTACTATATTAAATATTAAGCTAGTAGAAATTTAGTAATAAGATATTAGTTTTTATTTACTTAGCTTTAGGCTTAATATAAGTCTATTACTTTAATACCTTATTTAAATTAAAGTATAAAGAGGATAGTAAAATATAATAGCACTTTTAAATAATAAAAGTTAGGTTAATATTATTAATAAGAAGATTATAAAGAATATATTATTATTACTTATTAACTTTATAGTAATAAGTGCTTTTATTATTATACTATAAGAAA